AGTAGATATAAAATTAAAATTGATTCGAACGACATCTACTAAGCCTTTTTTATGATGCGAGGAAATGTTTAACCATTGATTTTCAATCATCTGATTCATTCATACTTGTCGTTGGCGATGTTTGTTCGTTTGTAGACAGAAAAAAGAAATGTATTGATGATCATGATCGTAAAGAAAAGGAAGAAAATAAAGCTTTCTATATTTATTCAACTCAAGTTTTATTTGTCATGTATCTCAATATATTTCTTATAAAGCCATGTGGGCGTACTTTTTTTCATGATATATTCTTTAGAAAACGTTTCTCTTTTGTAGATGAACGGTTTTAATCGTGTGCGTTCAACACTACGTCGTACACTATTTTCATCGAATGATAATAGTTCAAGTCCAAATACGACACGACGAGAAGATTTCCCAATATTAAATCGTCATTTATCATCTTATGAACGTTTTGATTTATCAACGGGTAGTCAAGGAGCATCATCAACATCTTTAAATAATATAAATCCAACTATTAATTCACACATACCAATTATTGAAACAAGTAGTGATGGAGTTGAATTCTTACCACATAATTCTAAACGTACATTACGTACAATTCCGGGCGTCTTCTGTCCTATTGCTTTATCAATGTTTTCAATATCATTATTTATGCGTATGGGATTTGTTGTTGCTAATGCCGGAGTTTTACAAACATTATTACAGTTTGGTCTTTGTTTTATTATACTTTTTTGTACGTTGTTAAGTGTTTGTTCATTAGCAACAAATGGAGCTATTGAAGGTGGTGGAGTTTATCATATGATATCACGAGCATTAGGACCAGAATTTGGTGGTTCAATAGGTGTTTTATTTTTCTTTGCAAATGTTATTGGTAATGGACAAAGTGTTGCAGCTCTTGTGGAAGCATTAGTTGCTAGTTTTGGACCAGGAAGTATGTTTTTTTTATGAGACAATTCTAACAAAATCAATAAATTTATGTTTTAAGGTAAAGCAAATGTTTTTGAAGATTCACATTGGTGGAGATTTTTATATGGAACAATAATTAATATAATAAGTCTTATAACATGTTTACTTGGTTCATCATTATTTTCTATGGCAACATTTTTTACATTTATTCTTGTTTGCTTTGTATATCTTATGGTTGTTGTTTCATTTTTTGTTAAAAGTCCAACACAACTATTAATACCAAAAGTGAATACATATCTTTACGAACAACAAGCATTACTGTATAATAGAACGGATTTAATTTATGGAAATTATACAGGTTTTAGTGCAGCAACAATGCGTGAAAATACATATGCAAATTATACAGTTGATTATACAACTGGCGATACAATGGATTTTGCTACTGTTTTTGGTGTATTATTTTCGAGTATAACTGGTCTATTAGCTGGAGCAAATATGTCTGGTAAGAGTTATTTTGTTGGAATAAATAATGAAAAAAATTTCGTTTTTAGGTGAATTAAAACGACCAAGTCGAAGTATTCCTACAGGATCAATAACAGCTCTTCTATTTGTATTTTTCATTCTTATCACAGAAGCGCTATTCATGGCTGCTACAACTAGCAGGTTAATTATAGATAAATTTCTTATATTATAAAAAAAATAATTTTTCTTTAGATTTGTTTTAACTAATAATTATTTATTTTTACAAGATATTAATATCTGGGAACCATTTGTAGTTATTGGTATAATATCAGCAACATTTTCAGCATGTTTATCAGGTCTTGTTGGTGCATCGAGAATATTAGAAGCATTAGCAGTTGATGAAATTTTTGGTAGAATACCTTTCATCTCAATTATAATAATTTAACTATTCATTAAATATTTATTTAGGTCCATTATTTCATTGGATTCGTGGTGGAACAACTCGTCATGGAAATCCATGGGCTGCTGTCATATTTACATTTATTCTTGTACAAGTAAATAGATTTTTAAAAAAATAATATTTCGTACTTGTAATTTTTAATTTAGTTAACTTTATTAATTGGTTCAATGAATAAAATAGCTCCAATTGTCACAATATTTTTTCTTTTGGCTTATTTTGCAGTTAACTTATCTTGTCTAGCACTTGATTTAGCATCAGCACCAAATTTTCGACCAACATTTAAATATTTCTCTTGGCATACAGCTTTAATTGGTGCTGTTGGATCGATTATCATGTGTTTTATAGTTTCGGCTGCTTTTGCTTCGATTGCTATCGGAGTTTTAATTGGTTTTATTTGCATGTTACATCTAAGAGATTTCCCTCGAGCGTCATGGGGTTCAATATCGCAAGCTCTTATTTTTCATCAGGTTTTAGTTCTAGCAAAATTTATTCTATATCTAATCACGAATATTTTAGGTGCGAAAATATCTTCTCTTACTTGATCCACGTAAAGAACATGTGAAATTTTGGCGACCACAAATGCTATTACTAGTTTCTAATCCTCGTTCTGCAATTAATTTAATTGATTTTGTTAATGATATGAAAAAAGGTGGTCTTTTTATATTAGGACATGTTAAAACTGGTCATATGGATAATGGATCAAATGATACATGTTCACAAGAATATCCTTATTGGGTATCATTAATTGATAATATGAAAATTAAAGCATTTGTTGATATGACATTAGCACCAAGTATTCGCGATGGTGTTTTACAATTAATGCGATTGTCAGGATTAGGTATGTAAAGAGATAAGACATGCAAGAAGAGTTATTCTTACTGTATTTTTTCATGAAAAGGTATACATTTGATGAAACACAGCTGTGCAAGTAGAATATAATCTATTAAGTATCAGTTTACAGCTCTGTATATTTCTCAGGGAATAGAAAATTACATTAAAATAATGAAACGGATATTATTTTTGATTTTTATTGATTAAAATAATAATTTGCATTTTAATTGGTGGAAATAAAATAATGTCCGTTACGTCATTAGAAATATCATTTTTTCGTGTTTTATATACGAAAATCATCATTTTTTTTAATTATTAGGTGGTCTTCGTCCGAATACAGTTATTCTTGGTTTTTATGATAATGCGGTACCAGAAGATAAATTACGTCATCGTTCATTTTTCAAAAAACGCTGGCTTAAAACTAATGCTCCACTCAATGCTATGGCTACACCTGCATTTCATCAACAACCAATAATACAACCTGGTACAATGGAAGGTGCTAGTACAATAACATTGAATTCATTTAATAGTTCGGCAACAATAAATGGCAATGATATGTATCCGTTATTTAATTTTGGAGGTAGAAATTTATTTATTTTATTTTCAGTATTGGCAAACTAATGTATTTATGAATTATATTTAGAATTACGTCAAGAAAATGAAGAAAAAGTACTTGATGTTCATTCATATGTACAAATAATAAAAGATGCATTAAATCTTAATAAAAGTATTTGTCTTGCTCGAAATTTTCATCAATTACAAAAAGATGATATTGAATCAAATAGACGAAGAGTTTTTGTTGATATCTGGCCGGTAAGTCTACAAAAGAATATTTTTACAATTAATCGCTCTTTTAAAATACCATATGGACTAGTTTTATCAAGAAAAAAAAGAAACATATCTCAGGATGAATCATGAAAAATTCTTTTTCGTCTAATACAATAAATTATGAAACCTCTTTTACATTTTCCTAGGTAACATCTCTTTAGTATGATCTACTACTGATAATAGTGTCTTTTACATAATAATCGTAAATTTTAAAATGAAATATGTTTGCTAACTCTTTTTACGAGCATATATCTCGTTGTTGATAATGAGAAGCTTATCTCTAATTTATATTTACGAGAGAATTTAATCAGATTAAAATATAATTATAAATTTAAGAATATTTTTAAAAGTACCTCTGTTGACTAAAACTATAAATGCCATTGTATACCGCCGATGCCAGTTTATTATATTTGAAAAAGACAGTATATATGTCTAATAATACTAAGTCATCACGTAGTAGTTCTACAAATGCATGGACTTCTAATGATGTCATAGAACAATAGATTTCTGCAAGAAAATAGAATCCTCTCTTTAACATTCAAATGTTTTAGATTACAAACAGAACTGACTGTACTAGAATTAGTACATACATACGGATGTAACCAACACGATAGTATTTCAGTGATATATCATGAAAGATATACAAGATCATAGAAGGAATCACTTTCTGTATTATGTACGAAGATATATTGACTTCGTAGCATCTTTAGCACACTTCAATAGTTTTCTAAGATTATGAATTAGTTGATAAAAAAAACTTAGACGATGCTACAAAGAAATTATTCTATGATATATTGTACAAAAAAGTCATATTTTTTCTAAAACTATACTCAAACATAATATTAGTAACCTGAGTTAAAACCCACGCAGATTTCTTAGTCATGAGTTAATACTTTTACTAAATCAATAGTAACGATTGGAGAATTTTCAGTATATATACATTTGATTATGAAATATTCAAAAAGTTAGTTATCGAATATCATTCATTCTTTATTTTTAGGTTAATTTTATCTTTCCGGAAACATCAACACAATTTGATGTAACATGTCTTTATATGCTTCAATTAGCTACAATTTTATCAATGGTTAAACCATGGAAAACTCGTGCTACATTACGTGTTTTTCTTTGTATTGATGCAATAAATGATAATGCACTACGTACTCAACAACATCTCGATGAATTACTTAGTCAACTTCGTATAAATGCTCAAACACGTATGATTGCATGGGAAAATGTAACAAGTCTATTGAATAATCCTTCAACAACAAATGATAGTGCAGCAACAATATCTGTTGAACAACAAACAACAGCACCACCGCCACCACCACCAACAGCATCAGCAGCAGCAGCACCAACAAGTTCATTTGTTGATATTAAAGATGATTATATACGTGGTGTTAATGAATTAATTCGACAGCAATGTGATAATACATCATGTCTTTATTTATATTTACCACGACCACCGAAAGACAAAATACTATCACAACGTTATATACGTGTTTTAGATATTTTATCAAATGATTTACCACCTGTTATGTTTGTACATGGTGTTTCATCTGTAACATGTACTCAATTATAATTTTCTATTAAAATTTTTAAATGTCAGAATATTTCATATTTATTCTTTTCTTTTTCGATCTCTTTTATTGCTTTTGGTTTCTTTTGTATTCGACTCTTATGAAATAAGTGTTTTGTCTAAATGTGTTTTCTCTCTTTTTGTTTTTGTCTACTACTAATAATAATAATCATTTCATTGATCTGTTTTTTTTCTATCGTGTGTGTATCTCTATTTAAGATGTCACATACTCAACCTATTATATTTAATAATGAGTGGTCAATCGGTACAACACATGGTTCAATATTAGAATCTGAAGGTTCAAAACGTCAAGAATATGAAACTGGTTTAGCAACAAGTCATTTACCAGAAATGATATTCGATAAAACAACATTAAAAATAGTTCATATTAATAATAAATTAGAAATTGTATTTAATGCATTTGATGCATTAAAAAGTATTGATATGTATAATAATATAGAACAAATTCCTAAAGTATCTATGAGTGAAGTATGGTCAAAATCACGTAGTAAAGATAGAGAATTGGATTATGTTAAACCATATGATTGGACATATACATCAAGATATAAAGGTAATTATATTGTCAAAATCTAAACATAAAGGATACAACTGATATGTATTAATTTCATAGGCAGTAATTCAGTCTGTTCTATGTCTCGAATACAACACATCAGAAGTGCATTTCAGTACGTTACACTACTTGAGTTGCATCAACCTCTATAAAAAGAAAAGCGTGACTGACATGCATTAATTCCTCAGGTATATTTATAATTTAATACGAAAGAGTAACATACGGCATATAATATCAAGTCAACAGTTAGCATCTGTTGAGTACTCTACCACATTAATCAGTTATGCATGTTTTTCTTATAGGTGAAAAGAATAGAAAGTTCCAATGTGAATAATTTATTTTAAAAATATTTCTATCTAGGCACTTTATGTTCATCCAGTGATAAATCTTGGCATATTGAAGTAACTGATCAACAACTTGATTTAGAAAAATTAAAACGTCAAGAACCAATTTTATTTTATGATGAATTAACACTTTATGAAGATGAATTAGCTGATAATGGAATATCAAATGTAACATTAAAAATTCGTTGTATGCCAAGTGGATTTTTTGTACTTCTTCGATTCTTTATGCGTGTTGATGGTGTACTTATACGATGTTTCGATACTCGTTATTATTATGAAGCAGGAAATTCTTATATACTAAGAGAATATATTGAACGTGAATCAGCAATATCATCACTTAAACCAGAATTTCAATCAACGTCGGATATTAATTCAGTTATTACACAATTAAAAACTAATGTACATCAATTAGAAAAACTTTTTTTTAAAACATCATCATAGAAAATAAAAGCAATGTTAACCATAACGATACTATTTCAGTTATGTTTTCTACATCTTTTATTGTCATAGTAATTTAATTTTTCCACGTTAAACTAATGAAAAAAAATGCATTTACTAATCCACGTAATTAAAACTATTATTTGACTAAGAAATCTAGTTGTTGTAGGGTCTCATTATTTAATATGAGTAAATGTATCAATTATTCATATCTATTTTCTTAGTTTACATATAGAATAAAACTTAGCAATAAAGTTTATGTTATTAGATATCTCAAACGATTTCTTGAATACAAAATTTAAATATGTCATACCGTTCTGAAACAACTATACATTTAAAAATCGATGTCGTATCATTTTTTAATACTTTAAAGATAAATTCGTTTGTCAAAAGTGCGCTATAGTTAGAGCATTAATTCATCACATAGTTCCGGATAAGTATATCTGAAGATTCTAATATATATTTTAATTAAGAAAAAAAGTAGACATATTTTTTCTGAGAATTGTATAACACTTGTTAGTGGATTTACAGAAGGATTGAATCTATAATATGAGACGTTTATAAATGAATCAGTAGGATATCGAGTAAAAGGATCGTATGAATAATTGTCTTCTGCACCAAGTGCATTCACCCTGCCAGTATTCAGATAAATGTAACCTAAATTTGACATAATAGAACGAGTGTAAAAGAGTAGTTAAATTATTAATAATGAATGAATTTTTAATTTAAATTAAACACGTCATAATTATTCAAGCATTTTTAAAGCTGACTGTTGCATAATATGGATCACACACACATTTATACCTTTGAGTGCCAATTTATCAATGTCTACTGAATAGCATTTGAAAACTAAACATATTTTCCCATCTATATGCTTCAGTACAAGTAGTAAAGTTAGTATGTCATAAAAAATATACTTTCTGTGAGAGACATTTCTCAAGTATATCTGTTAAAAAGACATTTATAAGGTTATGGAATAGATGAGAAGTTGTATTTTTAAAAATCAGATTTCTTTTATTCCTATCAATATTTGAAGCCGCTAATTTTAAACTTTCAGTTTCAAATATCTTTCATTCAATAAATTAAGTACTACTATATCCTTGACAGAAAAATTACTTCGCAAAATAAATAACTTTTTTCTTAAATATTTATACAATTGAATATTGTTTGTAACGCTTATTTCAAATAAAATATCTATTTTTTGTATATAATTGTATAGACAAGATTTATAAAATTCGATTTAAGATCTTCTACATTTGACATACGATCGATGATATATTTATGTCAATATACTTGTAAAATATGAAATAAAAAGATTTTTATGAAGATGTCTATATCATAATTACATGTTTATCATGTGTTATGAACAAAGTCTTGTAAAACATTTAAAAATAATCGAGGCATAACTTTTTTAATGTCAGTATGATCAGCTAGAATGAGTATGCATATAATAATATTGCAAGAAATTTAAATTGAAAAAAAAGTGTTTACTCATTTCATCAGTTTATTTAGCGTATAGTAACAAAAAAAATTAAGATTTTAAATTTTTGTCTTGTTTAATAAAGAGAAGATATATTTCAAATAATATCATATATATCTTGTCTTATTAAACGAATAATTTTTCTTTTCTGTATTTTATGCATTTGATCACGTTTAACAAATCGACTTAATATTGAATTGAAACCATATGGATCAAATACTTCTCGTCGTCTTGGATACAAATTCGTATCTAATGATGATGATGGTATATCATCCGAATAGAATGAATATGGAAAAGCATCATTTGATAAAACTGATAGAAGAGCAATAAGTATACAAATATATGCTAAATATTAAATAGATAAAAATTTAAAAAAAGCTAATAATTAAGAAGATCTTACTCATATACATTGTTGAAATAGAAGTATTTCTTGTTATATAATTTCTTAAATGTGATGTATTGTCGTAGCTTCTTATATATTTCTTACAATGTTAAGCAATACGTGTAATAAGGTAAGTGGTGCGTGGGATAGAATATCTTTTCATGACAAGTACTTATATATATTTAAAAAGAAGAAAAATGTTAGAAGAAAAAAAAACAATTATATGAAATATCTCCAGTCTTGCTAATTAATTACAAGTATACTCACGTATTTCTGCTTGAATTATCCTTAATCAAAATCATGTTTACCGTAAATATTTTATAATAGAAATTTTTAAGTACAGAACAAATGTGCCTAATATAAGCATATTTCGTACATACATATATATAATATCTGATGCAAAAGTCTTTGCACAAATGTCAAACAATCTTAGACCATATTACCGACTTCTAAACCAATCAATTTGTTTTTATTGGAAAGAGCAAAGTCTGAACTACAAATTTTGTACCAGCCATATTTTTTCAGAACGAATCTATGAAGGAGAAAAAGTCAGAAACTGAACACCTCTAAAAAAAGGCCCGTACAACTTTTTTCAACTTGAACGACCTGTATTTCTCGATTATTTCGAGTTACATAGATGCAACTTGCACTAAAAGATACACCAAAATGTAGCGCATGCAAAACTCTATAGATATGTACTTTAGTAAAATGTCTAGATCCGTTGTTGACTCTTCAATCAAAAAAGTTTTAAACATGAAATTTCTGTAAAATATAGTCTTTTGCAAGAACTATCATTTTAGGAGAAAACTAGCCATCATTTTCAGAAAACATGCGTGAACTCATTTTTTTTGCGTTATTTGTCGGAACTATGTCCGACTGAAGAAATTTTGCAGAAAAAACATAATTCAAAAAATTTTTTTTTCAGTATAAAACGATAGGTGGTAAGCACGACCAAGTTCTTTAGTCTCTTCCAGAAAATGCTATGTCTTGGTATAAAAACCAAGAATAAATTTAACTTCCAGTATACCATTTGAAAGAGCACTCTTTCTTCTACAAGAATCCTCATGTATTGTTTTCTTATTTCTCTTCTTATGCAAAAAAAACGGATAGCAAACAGAAAATGATGTTGCTCAATGGTAAAGTTGAACGGACCTTTTTTTTTAGGGGTGTTCAGTTTTTGCCCTTTTCTTCTTCTCAGATTCGTTATGGAAAAATATGTCCGGTACAAAATTCGTAGTTCACACTGCGCTCGTTCCAACAAAAAAAATTGATTGGCTTTGAAGTCGGCAATATGGTCTAAGATTGTTTGACATTTGTGCAAAGACTTTTGCATCGCATATTATATTGGTATTTATTTATATTGAACTAGAGATGAATGAAATACCTAGACATTTGATTTGTTGAGAAAAATGTTTTGGACTTGATTTTTTATCATAGAATTTCATGTTTATTTTTTAAGACATCATAGGCGATTATTTTGAAGAACAAAAATCAATTTAATCAATAAAATACAATGGTATAAATCCATCACTTTCAATAAATCGTGACATATACTTAATGTCATACACAAACTTGCGTCGTCAAACATATTCATATTCTATTCATTATGTTTATTTGATCTTGATAGAATCAAACAATATTGAATATTTTTCTATTCATTATCGATTATATGAAATACTAAATTATAAACTATGTATCTGAAAAAAAGATCATGATTCATTCGATAAATCGACGCAATTTTAAGAATATTAATTTTCAAAAATAAATCCTAATTAGCATTGCTTCGTCTAGGTACTTTATATGATAATTCATATTTCTTATATAATTATCAATTTGATATTTGAATCGTCTTCATTTAATTGATAATTATGAACATATAAAATAACAAATTAAAATATAATTTATTAAAAGACGCAATATAGTTTCGAAAATTTTATTCCGATACAAATATCCTATGAAATTAAAAAATTTATTCTAATCAGTTTGTTTAGAAATATGTATTAGTGTAAATCAATAGTAGACGTTTCCTTATTCGATTTTTTTCTTTACGAATGTTAATTTAATAATACAAAAAAAAACTAACAATAATATTGGTAACGAAAAATAATATTATATTAACAATCTTTTGTTCATTTAATTAGTTCTATGAAGAGTATGTCAATTTTACTTATCATTCTATATTAACTATTGAAAAGAAGAGAAAAGCTTAATTACGATCGGCATTATCTTAAATCTAAGAAATTCATTTGTATGTATCATCGAACTAATTTGATAACAAGTTCATAAAAAGACCGGATGTAGGAAGAGAAAACGAGAACGAGAGACAGAGATAGAGATAGAAAGAAAATGAGAAACAGAAAATCTTTGCATATAGAGATTCATATCTGTTCCTACATCGTTGATATAACACAAACACATCCAACAACAAAAAAATATTAGAATATTCCTTCAAGTTTAGGCATGCATCATTATTTATTTGTTCATTTAATGATTATTCTTGCTCTTCTGAACTTCTGCTGTTACTCATCACCTATTTCATATGATGATCAAAATGATCATGAACAAACAATATCACCAATTGATACAAATGAACAAGATATGATGAAACGAGCAATAACAAATAATAATGACAAATATTATTTTTGGAAAATGATGTGTGCACTTCATAATGATTGTTATACAGCAGATCATGATCGTTTAATTTTTACCGATATAAAACCTAAACGTCTAGCGTCCAATTTATTTCATGGTATTCCAAAATTTGGCAAACGTGCATTTTCATCAGCATTTTCCGGTATTCCCAAATTTGGTTAAAATGACCTTCATTATTTTTTGTATGTTGGAATGAAAAAAAAAGGGATTGAATATGTTTAAAAAAACATCTAGAAAATATTTTCTTTCTTATATTTATAATCGTTGTACCTTTGTGCATTTATTTTTTTCAAGAGAAACAAAGTTTGTCAAAAATAATCGATAGTTGAGTCATTTAATAACGTTAAAACCATGTGTATATGTTTTACAGATACACTCATTCTTCGAATAATTGATTGTTTCATCCCAAGAACATCAATCAAAAAGGACAGAACTTCTACAATTTTCTATATGTAAATTAAGTTCCCATAAATCATAATTAGTAAGAGTGACATATCGATATATATTGAGATTTCTTGTTTTTTTCGTATGATACGAAATTGAGTTAGTTTGTAGTAAAAATTCTAGACTTTTTAATATATTATAGATTTTATCCTTATCTCTTTATTTCATTGACAGAAAAAAAACTAACAACTGTAAGTCTAACGCGAGTTCATATATAAGTGCATTTATACAAAACAAGTTTATAAGTGTATGCAACACTATAAGAAATTTAATGAATTATGAAGGAGCTAACTCTCTGTTTAAAAATAATAGTATAATACTTGGTTATCATCGAGGCATTCATTTGATTAAGTACTTGTTATTCTCAACAATTTAAAAATTAATTATTACAAGTACTCTTATCCATTCTGATAAATAAAGAAGACGAAAAAAACCGACATTTTTTCTGCTTTTCTTAATAACAGTTTATCGATCTAAATCATTTTTGAATGTAATTAAAACATAAAACTTATCGTAAATTAAAATCTAACTTTTATTATCATCATTCATAAAAGAAAATATAATATAGATAAAAAATTTCTTATGTTGTCTCTTGTGTATTAAAGAAAATCGAAGAGAAACTCATAACATGTTAGCCACAAAAAAAAATAAATCAATATCTTATATGCATATATTAATTTCTCATAATTGCCTTCTCTCTCTCTCTAAATTTAATTATAGAAAATCAATAATTCTATATTGACAGTATAAAATCATATATGAATTTAATAGTGAAATACTTCAATATCGACAATATAGAGATTAACATTATCCATAATGAATATATAATCGAGTAAAAAGAACTGATTTAGAAAAAAACAACGAGATAAAAAGAAGGATACATCTAATATTCTCTTTTATAGAATTGAATACTTATATTCGCTCACTCTCACTTATACCCAGTTTTCTCTACTGTTGAATTACAGCTAATTGTTGTTGCTGGGTTTTTTTTCTTCAACGAACAAGTATAAATTATTTATTTTGCTTTGTATTAAAACATGAAATCATAAATAGTTCACTTTTGGCTTTTTTTTCTATAATCGCGCTTACATACAAAAGAAAAGAAAAAGAAAATACACACACAAAAAAAAAATTTTATCACGGTTGATTGCTATTAGCAGTTGAAATTACATTTAAATGCTGTTCTTCATTATTATTATTATTATTGTTTATTGCTGATGAACCTGTCGATGAATGTGGTGATGTTATGATTTCCCTTGCATATAATTCAGCATCAAAACCATTCGTTGTTATTTCTAATTGTTGTTGTTGTTGTTGCTGAGAAGAAAAACGTTGATGTTGTTCAAATGCTGATGGATATGTATGATGAACTAAATGAAGATGTGAAGGATATAAATCACCACATTGATAATTATCTTGTCGAGTATTATATTCATCGGATGTTTTTGTTAAATTATGTTTAAGATTTAATTCTGATACGAGTGTTTTAGTGTCATTAACTGATGTAAATGTATTTATATGTTTATTTTGTTTTGATTTTATAATTGAATTTCCATTTGTATTTCTTTGTTTACGACGACGGGTTTGTATACCTTCTTTAACCATATTCAAAGGACGAGCAATCTAAAGAATAGTATTTATATAATTTCAGAAAAATGAACATTTCTTCTTACATGATGAAGTTTATAATATAAACCACATGCGTTACATACAGGATCACCTTCAGTATTTCGTCTCCATAAAGTTGTTGTTTGCGTTTGACAATTCGCACACTGAAGACCTGATCGTCTTGGATTAGGTGTAGTCTATATGAACAAAGATTAAAACATGCGCTATAGAAATATTAAAATTTACTCGTTTATTATTTATTTCAGGAATTGTTTTATTCTACATATATACAAGAAAAATAATAATCTATACATGCATTAATAACTTACTAAATTATTAGTTTTATTTGTAGCATATGGTCGTTCGGAATTTTCAAGTGCTAATGATGATAAAAGTTTTGTTGACGATTGTGAAAGTGGAAGTGTATAGGAAGTGTCCATACCAGTTGATCGAGGATGATGATCTTCATCTTCCTAAATAATAATCATTAAATTAAAGAAAAAGTCGATTTTTATAAACAAAATTTTCTTACTACGCGTCGGGTGGATCGTTGTAATGGTCGGCTTGAATCATCTATTCTATGACATACACGACAAGTATTGCACAAATAATGACCTGTTTCATCATGTCGCCATAATGCTGTTGTAACAACACCGCAATTAACACATTGATGTCCGTGAGTTGTATCTAAGCAAGAAGGATCTAAATACAATTTTTTATTTAAGAATTTACTGTCTTTTTTTCGAAATAAAAATCGAACCTAAATATTGAAGATAAGGTCCACCTGCTGAATTATCCTGCCAGAAATGTACTGGATCTGTTTGATGTTGTTGAAGATGTGTTAATTCACTAAGATTTGCTATTGATGTTGATGGATAAGATAAATAATGTTGAGTTTCATTTGGTGGCCATGTTTGAATAGCACCATTATCATAAACAATAGTTCGTGGTCTATTTGTTTCATCATAGGATAAATGTTGTGAATGATGAAGACTTGATATTGGTGGAGAATAAAGAACTATAAAAGAGGGAAAAAAATCCAAATAAAATAAATATTTTTTTGCTCGCTATACCTTGTTGTAAATGCGGATAATTTTGTTGGAATGAATCAATTAAACCATCACCATAATAAACTATAGGTTCTGGATATGACTGAAGATCGGATCTGATGAATGGACCAACAAATGTAGTTGATTCTAATTTATCGAACAAAAATATTAGTCAAAACTAACTAAATTCAATTAGTTTTCTTACCATTTGCAGATGTATACTGTTCTTGTTGTGAACTATTTAAAGAGACAAGGTTTAAATTTTTTAATGTTGTCGATTCCGAATAGATCGGATCATTGATAGATGTTTGTTGTCCATTATTTGATGATGATGTTGTATCACTACTATTTGAAAAATGACTATGTTCACCATCATCATCTGGATTTTCATTTTTAATTATTGATTTAATTAATGGTTTGTCATGATTTTTTGTCCAAGTTGTTGACATACTGATTGATGGACTGATGTCACTAAAAATTCAAGAATTTATATGAGATTTTTTCATTAAAATAAAATGTCATTGGTTCAAATCGTATTCGCATTTTTTCTAATTGGTTAAACTTAAACTTACTTTTTACTAGCATCGTTATTTTTTTTTCTTTACTGAAATGTACAATTACAATTATACTCTATGAAATGTTTTATAGGAGTCTAATGATAAGACTCTTCTCTTTTCTATGCCTGCTGCTGTTCTCATTCCAAGCGGGGGCTACAAAATTTTGATAAAAATTATCGCTTCGTGATTACGGTCATAAAAAAAGACATTCATCATAACGAAAAAGAAAAAAAAAGATAGCGAAGTGTTTCATAAAAACAGATTAAATTGCTAGGAAATACACATTACTTACCTTCTTTTATTCGTTGTATAACGATAAAAAAATAAAATACTACTAGAGTCTATATTCAAATTAAATAAAAAGTCGAAATAAGACGACAAAATATGATTCTTTTCTCTTATTCTTCTCTTCTTTTTTTTCGTCTCTTGACTCACGAGGAGTATACAAGATTCTTTCCAGTATATACAAGTGAAAATATGTGCACGTACAACAAGTTAAGTTATAAAAAAAAAAAGCGAAGAAATCTTATTCAATACTAGTTCTATATCAAACAACAGTTAAATCAAAATGTTATCTATATGTATATATATATATATATGAACTCTTCAATAATTAGCATAAAGAAATTATTCATTTTGAAATTTTATATGAAATCAAAAAGAAGAAAAAAAACTGAATCTGTCTTTTGCTGTTATCAGTAAGAACAAATAAAAACGACTTTACATCCTTTCTTTTTCTCTTTATATGAAATCTCAATGAAAAGCAAATATTAAGAATAAAAAGAACATAAGCAGTGAAGAGAAAAGTAAATAAGACAAGAGAGATAACAATAAAGAATATAGACAACATCATTTCAAGATGATCAATAATCCTTATGTTTAGTAATGTTATAAATTCATTGAGAGAGAGCGAGAGAAAAAAACGAGTGAGTTAAGTGTGTTTGAAAGAAAAATTATAAACAAAGCGGATGAATAATGAAATGTTTTATTATATGAACTATTCATTGATAATGGCAACATACAATTCTAATTGGATATCTGTTAGTATTTTGAATTATGGATATTATCTAAATAATTATTAGTAAAAAAGAGCACTTGATTCTATTTGATGAATTCATAAATGTTTAGAAAAAAGATGGATCGATCAATTAACACACACATATAAATAAAGCACAAAAATAAAAAGAAAGTAAGAACGATGTAATTTAAACAGATTCATATGATGTTCCCGTTGTTGTTGATGAACCCGTACAAACACCAAGTGTAGTTCGAAACCCTTCCTAAAAAAATAGAATAATTCATTTTTACATTTTAACTATTAATTAGTAACTTACGATAATATGTATTGGTAAACCAATCCAGAAGCTTGCTTGTGGAATTAAGTTTACACCGGATTTATGTTTAACAAATCCATTATAGGCCATACCAATAAGAAAATAAGCTACAGCAACAGAAAATAAACTAAATAAAAAAAAACAGATAAAATAAAATATTTTATTTCAATAACATACATAAGAAGAAAAACAGCTCCACCACTCATTCCTTTCTCTGGTTCTTTGCCTTGATAACATGCTCCAGGATAATCAAATGTCAGTGTAGTCTAAAAATCAAAAAATTTCCTATCGAATTTATTATTCAAATTTTAATAATTACTAAACATGCGTCATCAACATCAACATCATCTGGTTCTGGTGCAAGTGCTGTTACATCACCAACAGGAACAAGCCATTGTGTTTTGAGATTACAAGTAAACTTTATTTTCAATGATGGTTCACAAATTGTTGTGTTTGATACATTTTGTCTTGGACCCTGTGGAAATACAGCATAAAAACCTTTTGGTCCAGATTCTAAACAATGATAATTTTATTTTAGATATTCAAATTATCATTCAATTTACCATTTTCATGAAAAATTGTAGTTGAATAAGCACCAATAATAGTCATATTCGATGCTCCTGTTGAGTTTTGACATGCAGAATATTGGTGAAAACAATTTTCAGCTAATAAAATTTTCCGTATTGATAATAATCATGATTTATAGAAAAATATTCTACCTGTTTGACAAAAACTTATGTAATAAGTACAATCAGCAGCTGGATTACCAAGACATGCATAATCAGTTTTAACTTGCCATTGAACAGCACTATAATTATTTTTTTCATTTTTATATCAAAATCTTTAATTTTTCTCATTTTTATTTACCTAATTAAAGCTTTTGTATCATATCCCTCAAGTGAATTACATATAGCATGTTGTCCAGAAGTATAATGAACAAAACAAGTTAATAACAATGCAAAGTACAACGATCTTGTGTTTATCATGACTCGTTTTGTGTATTCAAAATAGAAGAAATGTGCTAGTGAATGATAAGATCTCTAGCTCACCTTTTCCTGTGATAACACGAAAAAGAAAATAAAAAGCAGCGCATATAAGAATCTTTATTAATCACCGAATAACAGAAGACAAAAAAAAAGAGGGCTGAAAAGTAAGATAACAAAGCAAAAAAACTACGAAAGTGTCTAATAATTTATGAAAGTGTTAGTGTCCAATCAGTTGTTACCGCTGGACCCGGTCGTCGGATAATAAGTACTTGAGATCCATCTTGGTAACTATGAATTGGAATGGCTTGTTTATCACCTGAATTGATTTCTACACGACTTGGATTTTTTGGATATCCAACAATAACGATACGTTCAATCCAAGCATCTGTTTCAAACTTAGCTGAGCTATCAAGAGATCTAAATAGAACAAAAAAAGATTCAAAGACATTTTCGAAAAAGAAATATCAAAAACATACATTGATTTGAGTTCATTATTTTTAAATGTAAAACGGCGATGAATAAATGCATGTTTTTGACGATAATCATATGTTTGACCATCGTCCAAATAAAGTTCACCTTCAGCTTCATGCTAAATAAAAATGAATTGATATAAAATACATAGTAACATAATCAACTCTTACATTTCGATCAAGTGCAACAACTAAAGTAATAGGATCGTGTATGGCAAGCATTGATGCACGGCGTTTACGTAATCGTTGTGGAATAATTGTACCACCACATTGATAAATAGGAATCTAAAATAAATATTCATACGAACATGAATCAGATATATATATATAATTGTTAACTTACAGATTCCATATCAACATTAATAAGTGCTGTTTCAGAACCATTATGTTGAGTAAATGTTCGTATATCATACCAAACCTTTATAATAATAAAAAAGATTATCTTTAAAAAAATATTCTTCACTTTTCTTACTGTATTTTGTCCTGGAAAATAAACTGAAACTTGATTGATATCTGCTTCAGTTACAGGATAAACCAAAAGACCATTACCTGTAAAAAATAATTCATTTTTTTCAATATATCTTGTTTTCTTTCCAAAGTTTATTAATGATACATACCAACCATATATGAATCTTCGGTTTTAAATGTATTTGTATCACGTGGGAAATTTGCCCATAAAGGTAACATAGGTGGTACACCATGTTTTTCTTGTCGATAAAATAATGTATACCAAAAAGGTAAATAACTATAACGTTGTTCAATAGCTTGTCGAATAAGTCGTGTATTATCATCACCAAATAACCATGGTTCACGACGAGCTGTATCAATATGTGCATGTTCACGGAAGAATGGTTGGAAGGCTGCAGCCTAACAAACGAAAAAAATTTTATTTTTAAAAAAATTAAAATCTTTAAATATACCTGATACCATCGAACAAGTAATTTTGCATCAGGATTAAAAAAAAATCCACCAACATCAGCACCAATAAAACCAATACCAGTTACGGATAAACTTAATAACATTGGAACAGCTATTTTAAGATGACTCCATTGAGCAGCATTATCACCTGTCCAAACAGCTGATGTTCGTTGTGAACCGGCGAAGAATGAACGTGTTAATATAAATGGACGAATATTTCCATTTGAACGTTCAAGAAGACCATCGAATGTAGCCATATGTTGAAGCATACCATATAAATTGTGTACATCACGATTTTCCCATCCACCATAATGAACAACATCTTTTGGAAATGTGACTTCAGGTCCATTGAAAACAGATGGTTCATTCATATCATTCCAAATAAAAAGATTGGGTGTTGAACCTTTATAATTATCATAAGAATAACGTTGAGAATACCATTTATAAATTTCAGGATTGAAATAATCAAGCCACATTGATGAACCTATTGATAAATAGATAGAATTTGTTAGCGTATTTCAGAATTCTTTTACCTGGCCAACACCATCCTTCATAATCTGATCCATCTTTTGATTTAACAAAATATCCACGTGATTTTGCATCAGCATATACTTGATATCCATCATCTTTTTTTATATGTGGATCACTAATTGTAATCATTTTTCTTCCGTAAACAGCTAAATCATCTTGCATTTTTTCTGGATTAGGAAATTTCGATGTATCCCATGTAAAATAACGTTTACCATTTGTATGTTCAATATCAAGCCAAATAACATCAACTGGAATTTGATGTTGTTCAAAACCATTATTTACACTAATGAAATAAATTTATTTTTGATAGAATCAATCATGCAAAATTCAACTTACCCTCGTACATCATCTTCATCATTATAATTCCAACGACATTGATGATATGCAATTGACCAAAGCTAAATAATAAAAGATTTTATTTGAAAGGAAAAAGAAAACAAAATAATTCATACCGGTGGAGTTGGTGTAGCTCCTGTCAGTGCTGTATATTGTTTGAAAATATCATTAGGTGTTGGACCCATAAAAAAGAATCCATCAAAAATGCCTGATTCAAACATCCAATGTGTTGTTACTTCGGGTACTTCATTATTTTCATTTGATTTAGTACCAAAAAAACTTGTTATAGTGGAAAACAAATTCTAAATAAAAATAAAATTCCATATAATTATGTACGCTATAGAGAGAAGAATAAACTTCAAGTTTCTTTCAATTTCAAAAAGAAAGATATTATCGCTTGATTAGTCATGCTAAAATTACAGCACAAGACATAAGAAAGCTTTGTGGGACTAGCTACGTTTTCTCTCTTGTTGTGACATGCAACAAAAATCTTCATTCATTACCTGAGCTTTGAGCCAAGGACTCTACAAGACAAAAAAAAGAGATCCAGTCACCAAAGCAGTCATTCGCGCATTGATTTTTTTTTTCATATATAAAAAAATTGACTTACTTTTGTATTTAATTTATCATTTGAAACATCGATCCAACCTTCGGCAGCATTTAACCAAAAGAAACCAACTGTTGCATGTTCACTAAATATTAACGAGAAAAAAGGTTAGATTAAAATAAAATTGTTCGATTTACTTGTGAGCAAGCATATAAGGAATTGCACCATATAAAGCCATAGGATTTTTAATATCATATTCAAAAATATCAAGATTAAATAAACGATATGGATCCGTATCACTAAATAGAAAATATAATCAAAATTTTAAATCAACTTAACGATAAATTACTGTGTTGATCTTAATGAAAATGCATCAGCATGTTCAGGAATACCATAAACATTTTCAAAATTAAGAAAATTTACATCAATACCAATTGATGATGGACCTTAGATTAAAACAAAAAACGAAATTAAATTATTTATCATCACTAATAAATTTTACCATGTGGTTTTGAATCATGATGAGATTTAAATGTTTCTTCCCACATACCATCTTCATTATCTTCTGCGTTATTATCAGCCGGTGCACCATCGGATCTAAATAAATTTATGGAAAAATAAAGAATCTTTTTTTTTTGAATTGATATTCATATATACGCTGGTTTTTTTCGATAATGTTCAAAATTAAACATATTTTTTGAATTAACACTCATTACAAATATATCATTTGTAAACAAATCTAATCGAAATGGTTTTGCATTAAGTATAAATCGAGCTGTTTTATCAAAACGACCTTCAATTTGATTATTATCCGATTTTGTTATATTAACACTAACAAGTTTTGGTTCACTAACAAGTACACGTTCAACTTCATAACGTTTTCTTATAGGATTAATTTCGTTAATTTTAACACGTAATGAATTATGTTGAAGTGTATATAAATCTAATTGAAGTTTTACATGAGATTTTAATGTATTAAGAAGTGAAAATTGTAAATGTCCATTAGTTATTGTTTTCATTGAGCTAAGATCAACTTCATAAGGTGTTGTGTCAGGTTTATATTTACGTTGTCGTCTAATATACAAAAATCGAAATATATTATTGTTTACACTTAATTACTCAAGCAAAATACTTACCGACAAAATGCACTTTGTTCACATGTTTTAAAATTATTGCGATCAACATTTTCAATGAATGAAATATTTAGAAGAAGGATTAGACTTATTAAATGAATAAATCTAATCATTTTTTTTTTCGTTTTATTAGTCTCAACTGCAACAGCTGTTCAACGAAGAAGACGAAGATGATGATGATGACGAGCGTATGAATATTTCGATGAAGCTTTGGAAGTATTGTATTGGTTATAAAATATATTCAATTGATATTTAACTTTTTCACGATAAGATGTTTTTAAAAAAGTTTTTCTTAGTTAATATATAATAGTAAATAAAATATGAAAATATCGATAAAATATAAAATAGATGTCGCAGTTGTATGTCTCTTGATAAGAAAAGAGATAAAAGATAATATTTACATACGTTGTTAAGCATGTCAGTTATATACCTGTAAATTTTATAATGGCTCAAACATCAATTTCTCGTACGAAATCTAAAGCTAAGACTACTGGTAAAAAAGAACATTCGGAATTTTATCGTAATGTTATTTTGCCAAGTAAAACTTATAAAGCGGGTCCCTTACTCGAAACAAAAGATGTTGCATTAACTTACAAGAAACAACCATCACTTGGAAAAGTAGATATTGAAAAGTAGGATTAAAAATTAAGTATTTTAAAAATATAGGATTTTTCGAAATAGACATCGAAATTCATTACAACGTGAATTATCAATAGATATGCTTCGTCAAGGTTATCATCAATCATTTCGTGAATTATCTACTCTATTAGCATGGCAAAAAGAAGATCGAGAACGATTAGCAACTGAACATCCTCTTTATCGACGGCCATTATTAGATGAAGAACCCGATAAATTACGTTTTCTATGTGTATATCTTAATAAAGCGGAAGAAGCAGAACGAAAATGTATGTATTTTATGTTTTTTGTTCAAAAGTTAATAAATTTAATTTTAGGTCAATATTCAAATATGTTTAAAAGTTATTTGGAAGTAGCTTCATTTTTTATTAAAAGTGATGATTATTGGTTATCAGATTTCTTCCATAAAAAATGTTTATCACTTACTGAAACATATTCACAACTTGATTCCGAATTAAGTTCTCAAGCATATTTTCATGTTGGATTATCCTATGAAAGACAAGGTTATTTAGGTGATCTTCTAAAAGCACTAGAATATTTTGAGAAATATCGTGAATTCGGTGGAAATTATTATGAAGGAAGAATAAATGCTAATCATCAATTAGTACGTATATATACGAAATTAGCTGAACGTCAATCAAATACTGATGCACTTAAATATATTACTAAAGCTTATGAAGCATCAATTCAAACTGATGATAAAAAAGTTGAAAGTAGTATTAGTTATAAACTCGGATTAATCTATCTTGAACATAATGATATTGATTCAGCGTTGAAATATCTTGAACAATATTATAATTATTGTGAACAGGAAAATGATCATGAAGGTTTTGGTCAAGCAAGTGAAGCACTTGCTATTTGTTATCAAAGGTATTTTTCAATAAAAATAAATTTCTTATCTTACTTTTAGTATTCTAGAAAATCAAATGTAGAAAAAAGTACGAAATATTTAACAAAATATTTACAAAAAGTATCAACGAATGCAAATGATAAACAATATGTAAAAGCTTGTAGTGCACTTGGTTTAATTGATGCAGCATTAGTATTATAGAAATCTTTTTTTTTCTTTTATATAAATATATTTTTAGGGTAACTATGATTCAGCAAGAAAATATTCAAAAAAAGCTTATAGTATATCATTAAATAAGAAGTATCCTGATCTTGATCGTTATCGAGTATTATATGGTATTGCTGATGGTTTAAAACTTCAATCATTTTTTAAGGATCGTATTGATCAAATGAATACACATGCGTTACTTGAATGGAAACTGACACGATTTGAAAATTATTTAATAAAATCAAAGCCTTAGATTTCTATTTTATTTTCACTTTTTTTTTATTATTTTCCCTTAACCGCTTAATGATGCAAGACCATTATTTTGAAGTGTTACAACAAGATTAGCAAGTGTTGCTTCAGGATTTGTAGCTTGTAATTTTGCCCATTCAGCGACTAAACGATTAAATTCGGGTATGCCTAATAAAAAAAGAACATATTCATGTTGCTATTCAATCATACTAATTATATATTTACCCATGCAATAACCAGCAACAGGAATCATAGATTTGCAACAAACAACATGATGATCTGGGCATTGACTATTTTCAATATCAGGTACGAGTTCGTGACCATGCTCAAGATATGATGTAGCCCTTTAAAAAGAATTGAAAAAAATTATTATCCTTTTACATTTTGGATTTAACATTACACATGTCGAACTTCGTATACTGTGCATTTTGACCATCCACCAAATCCACAACTCGCGTGACCTGCTGCTACAAGTTGAGTTTGACCTGTTGGTTCCCAACGAACGTAAGTTGTTGTTATAACTTTCATTTTAGCTGGATTACCATTTTTACAACAGTATGTACTAAAGACTTTTATTTCAAATTAATCTTTAAATACAATTTAATTACCTTGCATCAGCACGACTTTCAGATGTAGCTTGAGCTTCAAGTAAAGCTTGTTGATAGACCGATGGTAAAGAACGAAAATTTAAATTCGATAATATTTCCCGTAGTTGATTTTCATCAACAGGTGATTGTACTAAATTATTTTTAATATATGTATATATAAATCAAGATATTAAGATGAAAACTTACTCGATATATCGAATAATAAAACAAGAAGAAACGAGCAAATCAATATCTTCATTTTAATAATGTGTTTGAAACAAAAACAGACAAAATAAAACAATAATATGCGTAGACAAAAATATAAAAATGCGTCCATGGGAAAAACTAGCAGATGATATTATTATAGAGGCGTTAAAATCACATTATCTATAGATGATATATTTAGAATCAGTAAAAGGAGACGTTTATGCATTAATTATTGTTGTTTGTTGAGATAGTTCCATATTAAGTGGTGAAATAGGTGGTCCATAAGCCCAATTACGATAACATACTTTAAGTTTAGCATAAAAACATACAATTGTTGTAAGGAAAAAACCCACACCTAAAGTAATAATACCAATACCAATAAATGTTGTTTTTTTTGTTTCTGATATAACACCCGTAACAATAAGCATAAGACCAATAATAAGTGAAAGACAACTAGTAATAATACATGAATGTCCTATTTTATGTGTAACCGGTTGGTCACGCATAATTATTGGACCTATATGAGCACTTCGTATTCGACCGTTAAAAAAGAACATTTTTTGTTTTTTTGATCTATCTTGTAGGATTACCTAAGTATAGTCGATGAATGAATAAAGTAACTAGAACATAGAGAGAAAGACGAATACTTGATCTTTCTTTTTCTAACAATACATATTATGTATGCAGGATAATCTATCAATGTATCAATTTTAAATAAAATATATCGAAAATGATAGAAGATTTGTTTTTTTAATCGAACTTTTTTTTTTACTTCTAAAACTCCATTCAAATACAATAAAGTTGAATCATCGATAAAATATCTATTGAAAATAATCGATTATGGTAGTAGAAGAATAATATATTTGAGTGCAGAAATAGTAGAAGATAGTTTTTTTTTGAACAAAAAAAAGTGGTGTTAAATGGCAATAGACGAGATAAGCTCACAGCATGGAAACAAGAGGAAAGTAATCATGAAATTTGAGTAACGAGAAAAAAAATTAGATAATCACCGTTTGTAGACATAGTACACAAATAAATTTTTTTGTAATAAAAGGATAATGTGTAATTCTAATACTTTTTTCTTTACTATCTTTCTTGATATGGTTTTAAATATTTCTTTTTTCCGGAAATAACTCGAGCTAATTGATTAGTATCAAAACAAATTTCGATTTGTTCAAATTGATTTTCTAATAATTCTTTAATTTGATTGACATTAAATGGTGAACATTCAAAAACAATATATCCGCCATCTTTAAGCCAACCATTTATTGCACGACGAATAATTTCTGAATAGAATTTTAATGGTGGATGAGCAAATAAAGCAATTGAAGGTTCATGAAAAATTCCTTGATTACATTGAGATAGTTGATCTTTACAGATATAAGGCGGATTTGAAATAATCATATCAAATGAATTATTCTCAAGAAAATGAGAATTGAAGAGATCACCATAATGAAATTCAATATTAGAACAATGATGAAGATGTGCATTATTACGAGCAATTCGCAGGGCTGATGAACTAATATCACATGCATGAATTTGCCAATGAGGAAAAAGACGAGATAATGTTATTGATAAACATCCACTTCCAGTACCAATTTCAATAATTGATTGTTCTAAAAAAAAATAAAAACTTTTCTTCAATTCGATTTGAATATATTTTTTTTATTTACTGTTTTTATCAGATTTATAAAGTTGTTGTATATGATGAATGAGAGATTCTGAATCACGACGTGGTATAAGAACATGTCGATTAACAATAAATAATCGATTGAAAAACATGGCTGAACCACATAAATATTCAATTGGAACATGACGATGATATTGATGAATTAAATGACGAAAAATACCGAATAATGATTTCGATTTTAAATGTAATTGAGAACGACGCTGTAATTGTTGAGCACGAGAAAATAACCATCGATATGCATATTTAGTAGATTCATCAATTGTACTACGACGGAGAAGATATTTCAAAGAACGCATTTTGATTATTCTACTAAGCGAAATTCTATTTTTTTATTTAGTGGTTAGTTAATAAATTCTACTGATATACAACGAAAGAGGTCACTATGAATCAAATTATAACATGATACATTCGCTGAAGTTAGCTAACGCATGCGTTTTAATTCACATAAAATAGTCATTTTTATATATTTTATAAGCAATTTTCATTGTACCAGTTTTTGTACGAAAGCTACTCTACACAAATACTATTCATGATAAAGTCGATCACAAAAATTTAAGATAATTTTAGTATTCTATCAAGTTCATTATAACCATCTTCAGGATGTGGGTGTGCTTGATGAGATGAATCTTATACTCACACCATTAAAATGTCATTCTGATTTCATCTATAAAAACAACTAAAATTTTTTTCATTTTCATATAAAAAGGAATTTTTATTTAATTAGAAAGAATAATATGTGGGTATGGGTGTGTGAGAATGTTAGATGAGTAGAATATACACATTCACCCACCTTTCTCTGTAACGTACGTTATTCACTATTTTTGCTTGAATATCTTATAGGAGACTTAAGAATACGATTCATTTTGAATTTTTTCTTTATTTCATCAAAAATAATTTCGACAAATGATTAAACTTAGATACGACATGAATAACAATCAGTTCATATTCTAAATGAATATGAGTAATATTCTGTGAGTTTTTCGAATTAGAATATGTTCATAAATGATTATCGATGAACATTCTTTAGGACAATTAACCTAATAAACTATTATTTAGAAGAATCCTAACAAAAAATAGCAACTTAAATTATCAATTTCAAACAATAACAATGTTTGTTTCTTTTTATCGAAATATCTAACATGATAGATATAACACCATCTTTAAATGGTTTTTGATTATTCAGAAAGGAACCATCAAAATTGGAATTCTTTTTTAAAAATACGTAGCTGACTAGTTACATTTAAGGCAGAGAGTTCATTTTATTGTCTCCGTCTGTTCGAATGCTTCTACAGAAATGGACGAACAAATTGGACTCATATTTATGAGCAAACTCGACTGAATTTAAACGTTACAACGATTACAATAGAACAATTGAGCATTGTCACTTTGGACGGCAGGTTATTGTATTTTAAACATAAATAGGATTAAAATGCAACTGTACATATATGTGCATTTTCCTAAGTGCTCAAAAAATTGTTACCAAGAATGAATCTAGATAATTCAAGTATTAGTATTGTTGATCTACCCGATGAAATGTTGCTTAGTATTTTCAATAAACTTAGTAATTTTGATGTTTTATATTGGCTGGTGGGCGTTAATAAAAAACTTGATAATATTGCACGTGATAGAAAATTTACTCAATCTATTGATTTAACAAGCATATCATCGAGTGAAAAAGACGATCCTAAAACGAATGCAATACTTGATCGGTTTTGTTTGTATATATTACCTCGAATTGATAATAATGTTAAATGTCTTATTATTGATGGATACTTCTTGGAACGTATTCTACATGGTAACAAGTTTTTTAATTTACAGAGAATCACTCTGATCAATCTTGATATGAATATGGCTTCACATATTTTAAATGGTATAGTACTTGATTTATTTTTATTGGAGAACTAAAAAGAAAACATTTGGTTTCTATTTTGATATATGTTTTTAGAAAACTATCCATTTGTTATCAACTTCAAACAAAAATTATCCGAATTGATTATAAGGATTGATTGTGAAGATCCAAGTGTATCAATGCTGAATTTACTCATTGATATTTATCATCGTACATTCGCCCTATTCTCAAATCTAAAATATTTGGATTTGGATGTGAACAATAATTACTTCTTTTCTAAATCATTATTGAGTGGTTTATCTTCTACTGCATGTATTTCGTCGAGTATTACTCATCTATGTATCAAATTGCATAATATAGACGATTGTCTTCGTCTACTTGATGGTCGTCTTAATCAATTACATACATACATTGTCAAACTTGAATTCATACATGATCCAGAATTACTGAGACATTATCCATCAGAAATCACACATAATGCGTCATTATTATTAAATAATACGGTAAAAAAAAGACAAGACTAAAACTTTTCATTTGAAGTTCTACTAATAATGAATAAATTAATAATGTTCAGAGATAGTTTTCTAATATATGTCCTATATGTCAAATAAATCGCATTGACAAAATATTGGAATATACATTTGAATAAAAATTAGTTTGACATGAGTGAGAAACGGACGGTGTGAGAGTGTGAATATGAATGTGACGTGAGTTTATTTGTTTTCTAGCCAAATCGTTATCCTTACCTTAAGTCACGCTCTTATCGACATTATCACCAAAACCTACAACCAACCTCACAGCTATACCCTTATTTTACTTATACGACGAGTTTTTTTGCAACATTTTATCACTTAATACTTTTTATGCTTTTTTCTTTATAGAAAAATGTCGAGAAACTGAAATGTTTTTCGCTATGTGCATGTGTTCAAACAACTGAATTAGATAGTCTAGTTATTCCACTTGTTCATCGACTGTCACATTTGGAAAAACTCACATTATCTCTTCGTGTTAGTGAACGATATTCATACATTGATGGTACTTATTTAGAGAATTCTTTGCTCCGGCAAATGCCATATTTACAAACATTTTTCTTCGATATTGCTACCGAATATGTCTATATTGATGGACAAGTTAGACCATATTTTAATGACATTCGACATACATTCATTCAAAGAGGATATAATGTTGATGGCTATATTGATTCTATGAATTCTATTAACAAAATATGGAATCGATATCATGTCTATTCACTTCCGTTCCATATGGAATATATACATCCAATTTCGCATGGTTTTCCTGGTGGAATGTTCATAAACGTTGCCAACCTACGTATAAGAGACAGGTCTAATTCTTTCGAACACAGTTTCTTTGCCAAAATTTCACGTTCGTTTCCATTACTCCGTCGTTTGTCAATCCAGATTAAAATAGAGAAAAAAGAAAAATCTGAAGAAGTATCGTCAATTATTGAGTTTTCTCGTCTCGTCGAACTTAAATATGTTTCTGCTCATATTGACTATGTAGAACAATTTCTTTCCGACATGAAAACACGACTACCTTCTCTCATCAAGCTTATAATTCGATACGAACATTTAGCAACGATAACTGAGAATTTTAGAAGAAATGCAACACGTATCAACTGTGCAAAATTAAAATCGATCGAATTTTATGATGAAACTCCAATGGTACATTCAAAAGACTTTTATCTCTATTTTCCTTTATTGTAGATCATCTTCTTCTCACTAGCTCTACTTATTCAATTTTGTATATATGAATTTCTTGTAAAAAGTATTCTGATGAAAAAATAATAGATTAGAATCAAATTATTCATAGTCATTCACCCGTAATGAACGACTCGATTCATTAAAACAGATACAATCAGAATATTTTCTAATGAAAATCAATGAATAAACAACAAAAATATTTTATTGCATTATTAATTTGTGAAAAAAAGCAGTGAAAATTCGTAGAAACAATACAAGAAGGAAATAATTCATAAATAGAAATGTGCAAGATCAATAAAATAAAAGTTCACTGGGATGAGAAGAAAAATAAATTGGTATTACATTTTCTGTAGTTTTTACCTCATATCTAGAATACTCAATCAAATTATAATATATTTAGATTTACATTAACAACAAATAAATGTACAGGTACTATTTACAAAATAAAAATTATTTTCTCATACAGATCTACTTCGAAGAGGAATGAATATGTAAATCAAACTTAAAAATTAAATTATTGTGTATTTGAAGATTTCAATGGATAATTAATGTAATGATAAGTGCCAGTATAAATAACATGCGAATATTCACAATGTTAACGTATTTTTCATTGACAGCTTTTGAATGATTTTTCTAGTGCAATCTACTGTCAACTCAAAATTTCTTTATTAATTTGCAAGACGAATTGTTTTAGAACATATACCTCTTAAATTGCTATACAAACACAATTTTTCTTATGTTAATAAGTTAATTTTTAAAAAAAATACTTTTGCTACAGAATCAAATTCATCCTTATATATCGATCTCACTAGAATGAATGCTACGTCAAATACAATCAATAAAACTGACATGTAAAATATTCTAATTTTTTTCTAATATACTATCTTCACCTTAGTTCACACTTAATAAAAATATTTCTTTGTATATTACTTAAAAAATAATATAGAACTTATAAATGTCTGATTTTCATACCATGAAATATTTTTCTTTTAAATAAATTGCTTCAAACTATACTTTTTTTACTGAATATATAGTTAAACATGATTTTAACGAATGATGTTTTATCCAATACAGTAACATAATATTATCAGTCATATTAATATAGACGAAATGTTTTATCCTTATATTATCTGTTACATTGTTACACGTATTCTTCTCTTGTTCTTTTTTTCAGATTTATTCTCGGAACAAAACACGAACAGGATACTAATACGAAAAGAAATAGCAACATAAAGGACGTGATGTTATGAGACAGGGCGAAAGCATAGGTTATACCAGACAAGATTTTTTCTGATATAAAACGCATTCCTTCTTGCACATTTGCTCACCATATATGTGTTGACGATAGTCAGTTAGTCAAAAATTTATATTCAAAGTAACGACGCTGATTTATTTTATGTATCTATTAGTGTATTGGACTATGTTACATTGTTTTTTTTATAAATAATATGAATCAACAAAATAACCAACAAAACAATTTACCAATAATTGCACAAGCATTCGTCAATGCGGTATGATTTTCTTACTAAACATAGATATTTATAAATAAACATTTCTTTTTTAATTATAATAGTATGATGCTAGTGCAGCGCAGTTCATGGATTTAGAGACAAAGAGTATGACTCAGAAACTGCCAAATAAAATAATCGAACTTGGAGAAGATGACTACTGCAGAGTATTCAAAAATTATGGGACACTCTGTTTGGCTTTCAAAGTAAGAGAGCTATCCTCATCTAAAGAAGGGCTCAGTACCAATCCAATATCATAATTATAGATGCACTATATTGATTTCCGTCTGATCGATTATTATTAATAAATAAAGCCTAAAACTTACGAATTTAGATATTTAATAATTACAGGATCCTCTTCTTCAAATACAAACATATTGGGTGCATACTAATTTTGACCACATTAGACAGTTATTATTTAGCATTTATTTAAGCGAGAGAACAATAAGGTACATTCTGAAACAAAGATAGATTTGTGAAAACTAATTAAATATTTTCTATAACGCAGAAACTAAGTCAAATATGATAACTATCACGGTTTAGTTCGAAAAACAGTAGGAATAATTATACATTAGTTATCAGAATTTCATATGTTTTCATCCGTATCTATTACTTCCTAGGTAGGATATAACGGTCCGTAAATGGTGAAATACGACCAAAAGTGGCAGGAATTTCACCGTTTCAGATGGCCTGAATGATCGACCTGGGTTATTGGATTCTACTGGATTATTTTTTGTAAATAATATGAACCAACAAAACAACCAACAAAACAATTTACCAATAATTGCACAAGCAGTCGTCAATGCGGTATGATTGTCTTTCTAAACATAGATATTTATAAATAAACATTTCTTTTTTAATTATGATAGTATGATGCTTGTGCAGCGCAGTTCATGGATTTAGAGACAACGAGCATGTCTCGAACGTTAGATAATGAACAAATCAACCAGCGTGAATCGCATTATTATCGTAAGTATTTCATAAATTTCAAAGTTTCTTAAAATATTAGCTTTTTTATATATTTTTTATTGTCTAGATAATGCAAAAATAATCTTACAGCAACCCTAACAAGCACAAGAATAACAACCACAACCGCAGTAACCATCCGGAGAGTGGATTTTGGTCTTACATAAATCTTACTCTGACACCCACATCCTCGTCGAAAATATTTTTGAAACTTTTGTAAATGTTCTTTTGTTCGATATAAATCATAATCATAATTTTTGTTGTTTTGAAATATATCATTACAATAACGCTCATATAATCTCGATTCAAAAATAATCATTATTTTCAATTGAAATATAGATTTTTTTGCATGTTTTTGATAAATTTATAACATCCATAGGAGACAAATATTTACACATTTTTTATAAATCATATGACAAAAGAAAAAAACAAAAAAGAATCAGCTTTTGAACCAATACCATCACGATCAATCATCATCATCAATATCACTGTTCTCCTATTAAATACAATTTATAATTAATGAAAAACAAACACAAATAAAACTTACGGATAATATAATTTGATGTTCATTTCTAAAAAAACATACAGTTTAATAACTACAGATAAATTAAATTGATGAATACTTACGTAAATGAATTAAAATCATTTTTGATCTAAAGCAACAGAAAAAAAATTATTAGCAAATGCAAATTTTTTTCTTACTTGACTAATTAGTTCAATTTCTTCAACTCGTCGTTTTTCTGTGATAATTTCATGCATTAATCTGATATTAGAATTGATGGATATAAATACATCCTTCATATTAATAGAATCAAAATTTTTTGTTACCTAGAATAATACAAACAAAAATGATTATTAATTTTTTAAACAATGTCTTACTCACACAATAATTATGGGAAGTTTTCAAAAAATATACCAATACTTTTAATCCCTTGCTAATTGTAACGGAAAAGAGATGCAATAAGCTTCTAAACAATATATATATAAGTTGTAAAGGAAGAAATAGTGTCAATTGTTCGGATAGCACCGAAACGTAATGTTTTATTGAACATTGATAATAATAACGAGTAAGAATAAATGTATGAAGTTGATACAATTATCAACTTACTGTTTTCCGAATACATCGGAGAGAGAAAATATATGGAGAGAAAGGAAATCGGAAGTAGGGGAGAAAATAATCACGTATGAGAGAAATAGACCCAAAGTGTGGCATTCAAAAGGTGGCCATCACTTTTCTTGGCACACGAATATTGAGCATCGATATTATCATCAGTATTTAATAAAAACATCAGTGCATTTAAATAAATTCTAGCAATGAAAAAAAACTTATTAATTATTTTTTGAATTTTAATATCTACTTTGTTGATTCTTTATCGTCACAATATTCACAGATTATACTTGTTAAGCAAAATATTACTTTATTATTAATTGAATTCAATTGAGTCAAATCGGTCAACGTTGCAATACGATGATCTAATTGTACTGCTTCGTCATAAGTTGATTTTACAACCTGGTCATCGACATGATAATGATCGATTATCTTTGATTTTACTGTTTCAATTGCACTTACCATAGATAAATCTCAACAAAATTCTTTTCACTGTATAACGATGAAATACAATTGAGTTAATATATGCCGGAAAATAATTATGAAAATTAAACGTAAGTAAAGTAAACAGCCGATTCGAGTATTTACACCGGCGATAAATTAATTGTAGACATGATCGTCGGGATTCACTTACAAAAGGAAATCGATGAAAAATTAGTTTTCAACTAAAAAATAAATTTATTCTTCAATGATTGATAAACAATCAAACAATAAAAATAACTTTTGTTATTGTTATGAATATACAATATCTCCATTACAATTCGATCAAAAGGGCTCTTTTTTTATTAAGAATAGAGTGATGTTCACACTCGAAATCTTTCTGAACTAGATTAACGAGAAGCTTCGTTAAGTGTATTATTTTTGTTCCTATCTGAGAGTTTTCACTAATCTTATTCGTATTGATTTGAACCGTGAGCATTTCTCTGATATTGATACAAAAAGTGTCCATTTAATTGATCTTGAGAGTATGGGTGTCGATAAGAAGATGTTCGAAAACAAATCTTAATTTTTTGTTGCTCACCTTATTTCAATATTCGTCTTCTATTTTTCTTTGCATATCAATGTTCTCTTCTTGTAATAATCATTTAAATAATGTATTCATTGAAATAGAACGATCATATTTGTTTCTTTTTTACTACGCATAACCAATGAGTTAAATATTAATAAACAAGAACATTTAATTGCTTGTTAGATTCTTTATTATTATTATTTAACATTCCAATGTACTTTCTTTTCTCAACTCAATAAAGAATTCATCAAAAAGGAAAAATTGAAACACATGTTATAGAAATATTATCCTTTTAATTGAAAGAGAGACTAATTTATGTTTAATATAAATGAAAAATGGTTACGGACGAACATGAGTTGGTTAGATTTAAATAGAAATTATTTGGAATTTTATGATTTATCGTTTAAGTTTCAGTACAAATACGCAATTTTATGGATTCCTACCATTATCAACCTGTCCTTCACAACATATTTTTGTATTTTTCATTCTTAGGATGTGATCATCTCTTTATTATAATCTGTTTTTTTTCTGTTTCTGTTAATGTACTTGATGATATATATACGAGTCCTTATGTGTCTCTTTAATGTGTATGTAGATTGGATGGTATGCACGTATGTATGTTTGTGGGTATTTTTATAGTTATTCGAAATATCCATATAGAAGATTCAAAATGAATCTGGTATCTAATAACTACCGTAAGTATATAAAAAAACAAATTCCGTTGATTACATAAAATATTGTTAAAGAAAAAATATTTTCTATTAAATAAAACAAAATTTTCTATTAATCGATTGAGATGATTCGCAAATTGGCTTAATAAATTGTCAGACCTGATTGTTGTTTAATAATAATTGTACATAAACAGTTATCTTCACCTCGAAATAATATTTTTGAATTTATAATTAATAATTTAGCAATAGATAAACAATAATAGAAATTAATTTTATTCTAAAATCTCTGATAATATGAATTCATTGTTATTATTCCCTACATCATTTTATTCCTTTTCCGCCACAAATTGGTTGATATCTCGTAAGAAAATATTTAATTGTCTTTGTAATATGACTTCCATTTATAAGTTGTTGAATACAATGATGAACATTTGCTTTTTTAGCTGTTTCCATAATTTCGTCTATTTGAATATCATTTTGAATATTATCTCTATAATTGATATTTTCTTTTATTATCATATAAAATAAAATTGCTTCTTGTCAAACAATTCTAACTTAAATACATTCATATAGAATCAAAAAATTACAATGACAAATACTATAGAAGATTCAAATTTCAAATATTAATTCAATTATTGTTGATTTTCTACAACCAGATGTACCTTTATTAAAGAGTAACAAAAAAATTTGTTACCAAGAATAGGCACTTGTTTGTTGATCGATGAAAAGAAGAATAGAAATAAAGATACCAGATTGAATTTTTAATAATAATTGATTGAAATCGATTTCGATAAATAAAATTTACACCATCAAGTTGTCATTTTCAATTTAATAGATCGAAATCGTTTTTCGTCGCTCGAATAACTTTTAAATAATCTGATGATTAAATCAAAACAATAAATGTTGTTCTTTTTATTTACATATATGCTAAGTATGTCTAATACTTTGTGCAACAAAAGTAATACAACAAAAACATATGAAATGAAATTATTAGAGATCGATCAAGTTAAAATTTCAGATAAAATATTTTCTAACGAAATTTTTGTTTTCATTGATTCAATACGCTCCTAATCAAAATATTGTTACCCCATTTAAATATTTTACTGAATTTTGTTACACCAAAAGATAAAAAGCGATAGAATGTGATAGTTTTACTGATGATTTTTTACTAAAATGAATTTAATATCGATAAGAAATGTCAATGTATTTAAAAATATTCATTGAAAAATAATCTTCGTTTATCAATTAAACAGCAATTCAAATAGTTTCTGTAGATTCTATAGTGTCTATTTCAAATTATTGAACAATTTCTTCTGTATAACATTATTCTTATAAAACCTTTCCAGATTATTGAAAAACTTGCTTATTATTAACGAAAAATTCTTTAACTAAACAGTTTTCTAAAAAAACTTTCAATAACCATAGATGGAATAAATGCAATAATAAATAATGTGAATTGCCATCGATGAACAAAACTCATATTCTTACACAAGTGAATCTGCTTTACAAAGTAATTATGTTTAAAGTCGAAAAAACTGAACATTAACATTAGCCATGCTGGGTCGCCGTTAGCTGGACAAGCCGATTGATAAAAACTGTTTTTTTCATTCATAAACAAATCAGAAAAATCAAAAACAAATTTGATGGTATTTTTTTGATTAAATTAGTTTTTCTAATATAAAATTGATTTTAATTAAAATAAATTAGCTAGCAGTGTTTCATTTGAAACATCGACAAGGCCACCAAAAATTCGTGTAAATATCCGTCCATCATGATTGATTTTCTGTCTATATAGAGACAAGTTTTTTCGAGTATCCAAATTTATGACACATAATGTATGCAACAAGCAAGTCAATTCACCACTGATAAAATAATTTGAGATCAAGAAACGATGGTGTGATTAAAATAAGCTGTTGATTGTATTTATTTTATTTTTGATAGTTATCATCCGTCTCTGCCGTTTCTTGTTTTCTTTCATGAAGGTAATAAATTGTCACATGTTCTACCTCTTAAAAAACAAAATACAATTAATATATTGGTTCTTCAGTTTTAAAACTACAATAAACTGGGAAAAAATCTAAAATGCCGTTATCCATATTCCATCATTCTAGCTAGTGTATTTCATTTTAATGTATGTGAAGCTAATGGTGGAGTGAAGTAATTCTATCTTTAGTTCATCTATAAAACTGTTTCAAAATATCTAGTCTTGTTCTAAATAGAAATCGATCTTATAGCTTAAAACATCCTATAGAAAATTTCAACATACTAATGTTATATAATAAGCTCTATGGAAACCACCACAATAAAATTCACATAAATTAATTTTAACTCTAGTCATACTTAACGTAGTATTACATTTGATTTATAAATCTTAGTAACTGTAATAAATATGTTATAGTATATACAGTGCCTCTCAATAATTCAACATTCATTTTCATTTGATTTTAAATATTTTCAAAAAAGAACTATATGTTCGGGATCAGTAATAAATTTTGAGAGAAAAGAAAGCCAAGTTACGTATCGAAAAACGATTTTCACTTTTCATCTGTAATTTTTGCATATGAAAGAGAACCGAATATTATTAAATTTTTTTTCTCAGTTCGACTCAGTCACACATCATTCAATGCGGGTCTGTATGCAAAACAAGAAATATTAGTCATTTAAAAGAAAACAGTAAACCATAGCTGCGCGATCGTCGGTTATTATACACTGAAAGCGCGTTACAGTCGAGCGAGGCTGTTAGTCATTCTTCGCGATATTCAAGCTGAATGCACAACAAGCAAAAATCATTGGTCCTATATTTTCATTCGAAAGTTTTTTCTTCGTTCTTCGTCATGGCTGCTCATCAAATAGTATCATTAAATCTTGCTGTCTTTTTCTTTTACTAACTACATATAGAGTCAAACTCTAATAGTCAATTCTTTCTTAACCTATTATATTAGTCTTTCTTTGCTTCGAATTTGTTTTGAACTTTGTAAGTTTCCAGATAGTTTTTATTCGTATTTACTATTTATTCTTTGCCAGTTATTTGTGTGAATATGATCGACGTATTATTATCTATCTTTTGAAGTTCGCTGGCAGAAGGTAGCAATACTTGAATTGAGATATATAGAATAGAAAATAGCAGTGCAACAAAATCTTTCCATGCGCGTGGTCCGGTTTACGTTTTCTATCACTTTCTTCAGAGGAGAGAAAAACATTATTTTACAACCAGTCACGTGTTTTTCTTATTGCGTTTGGCGAAAATAAAGTATGATAGATTTATGTTTTATTCGATACTGTTTCTTTATATTGGTATACTAAAATATACGATCGAGCGACACGTATGTTTAGATGACTCATGGTCGTTTATCGTTCTGACTACCTTTTTATATAAGGTTTATTTGTTTTCTGGTATACATACACGTGGCACACTCAAGCAGCAATCAAACGTTTTTCTATCGTAAATGTATTGGCATTTTTGATTGCGTTGTCCATGTTATCTAGAGTACGTCGTCTTCGAAATCGCTTACTTGTTACTTTAAAAACTCATCAATGCTGTTACTCTACATATTTCACTATTGTTCGAAAGAGCATATTAGATCGCATTATCGAATAGAATTTTTTTCTCTAACGCTCATCTTTGAAATTATGAGGAAGGATAGTCGGTTTGTACCGGCGCCAAAGAATACGAAAAATAACAAATAATTTAGTAATTCCTTACTATTTTTCCCTATAAACTAGCTAAACCATCGTTATTCCCTGTCTTTTTCTGGTGAGGACGTAGGTAAATAAGAACGTAATGTGCATTACACATTCACTGCTAATATCGACTCAAATGTCAGAAAAACAGAGAATAATAGTTAATGGGATTTTTAACAAGAGAGAAGTCTTATTCCCAGCACTCTTTCAGTGCAAATAACTTTCGATAGGAGCCCGATAGAGATTTTTGATTTTTATCATTCGAACTTCGAACGCGGATGTCTCGCCGCATAGTACTATCTATTCCTATATGGTCTTGACGGATTGTTAAATGGATGATCATTGATTTTCAGAAAAGTGCTGATATAATATCAAGATAATATAGAGGATCAACTCTGCGAAGTGACTTAGACCTGAACGCATGCGGTCTACGCTTTGAGCCCCGTTCCTAAAACTATTATTTCTTCCATTCCAAAGCTGTAGGTAAAACATTGAGAAAAGAAGCTCTGAATGTGGACCGTAAGTGTTCAGGTCTAATTCACTTTGCAGAGTTGATCCTCTATACCATCTTCATATGATATCAGCACTTTTTCGAAAATCAATGGTCACCCACTTGATCATTAGTCGAGGCCATTAAGTAATACATGAATTTATGTAGTGAGCCAAAGTGGCTGATGGACTACCTTGTATACATTTTAACGATGGAGTGTGTTAGACTAGTTTTGCATGATCGTTGAATTGCATTTCTATCTGAACTTTTTTCTTTTGTTAACAGTATTTGAACCTGAAAATGAGCACATATGAATATCATGAATTACACAATGAAGAATCAAATACAACAACAGCAACATACAACAATGACCGTAATATTACATTAGTATGGATCGATGAAGAAGCCATGATGGAGCTGCTGTTACCTAATTCTCGAACTGAGCATACCATTAATATGTTTAAAGAAACCAATGGCGAAAACTATAAATTATACAACAATACTGATAAGTTCCTCAGTGAAATCGAGCACCTATGCAAAGCCCTGGATGTATTGGTTGTTGTATCCGCAGCATTTGCTGATGTTATAATCCGCAACTTAACTGAATCGTTATCAACAAAGGAGATTGTATCAATAGTTATATTCTGTGCTAGTTCTCATCGTGACAGTTGTACACGCTTCCTTCAAAATCGAAAAGTATCCGAAATATGTACCAACCAGTCGTCGTTAAAGGCGGTCATTGAAAACGAAAAAGACTCGTCATCGAAATTTGTTATCTGTGATCGACATTTGAAGTCTCTATTTAATTTAGGACGAGAACTTGAAGTATATTCATGGTATAAGAAGTATGTGGAGCTGCTAACGGACAATTGTGAGTCAGGAAACAAGAGAGAAAAAATGTTAAGGTTGTGCAAAGCGTGGTACGAAACGAATGGCGTACAACTGATCGAAATTACAGATTTCTACGACAATTATAAACCCGAAAACGCAGCGAAATGGTATGCCAAAGATACTTTTGTTTATCGAGTGGTGAACAAAGCACTTAGAACGTTAGATATGGAAACCATTAATGCATTTCGATTTTATATTAAAGATCTATCTAAACAACTTGAAGAGCTATGCAAATTACAAAAACGAGATCGAGCGGACGAGTCATTAAAAGTATATCGTGGGTATGCCAACATGACCACACTCGAACTAGATCAAATACGACAAAATATTGGTGGATTAATATCATTCAACGGGTTCACATCGACCACAAAGGATTATGAAATTGCGTTAGGGTTTGCCATATCTAAACCAACACACGAATCAGTAATCTTCCAAATTCTCGCCAATTATAATTTGAACAATGTCATATTCGCTGATATTACACAATATTCTGAGTTTCATGAAAATGAAATTTTATTTGGTCTCTGTTCAGTATTTCGAATTACTAATTGTGTTCGTAACGAAAATAATCAAATGTCCATAATTGAAATGACTGCAACAGATGAAGATGTACAGAACTTTGAAAACTTCGTTCAGAAGAAAGCTGAAGCAGTAATCATCGAAAGAAATACTCATCTGTTACGTTGCATCAATTCATGTAGCAGACGGCGATCTATTATTCTAGGGTCCACTATTATCTGTCTATTTATAATAAGCATCGCTGCTGTGATTCTTAGTCGTTATATGGTATCAAAACATCAGATATCGAATTTCTATAATTGTGAAGGCGCAAATTGTACGACATCGAGCACAACTATAGGTAACGTATATGTATATTCTGATGAACTTATTACAGTTGATTCAACCTTGACGGCGAGGGTGTCTGGAGTGGGACATAAATATGTATGACAACTATTTTTGACTCATTCAGTCGAAAAGATCTATATTATACTCACATCTTCGAAATAGCGTAAAGTCACAACTTGTATTCTAGCTGATTGCATAGCGAGGAACTCCTAGAAAAAATTGTCTAATCAAAATTTTCAATTTTCGTGGGGACTTTGAATCTCTGAGAGATAATTCATAAATGATTCGATTATTTTATAAATCTTAGTATTTCTAAATATTGATAAATTTTCGACAATTTCTGTCAAATTCAACGATGTTACAAATGCATTTGTTTCCTTAGATACATCAACTGTCACGCATGAGATTGCTTCAATAAATACTGTGACGACAGAACTAATGGCAACAGCATCTACATCAGCCGCAAAGTCTGCATCACCGAAGACCCCATCTCAGTCAACAGCACCATTATCAGGTAAGATATGATGATACGATTCTCTCCAAATAAAACTAAATGATGTTTGAGCAAAGTCTGCATCAGGTTGCAGCTACCCGTACGTATCGAAAGAGTAATGAGGAACCGCCTGTATCACAGAAAACGAGTTATACTCAATACAACCTTTTCCGATTAATACGATTGCTTTCAATAAAGTACAACTGGCTTAAAGAAGTAGAATTCTATCATAACGAGAATTCGCTGTGCAAAGCAGAGATGCAGGGAAGTAGTAAAATATTCATAAATGAATTGCACTCATGACTTTGAAGAATATGTTGGGGATAAAGTTTGGTAAATAAAGAGCGTATATATTATCTTCGTTGAGAACCAGACTGATACTTGTAGTCGTCTTTCAGGTTAAGTGAGGGAGTTTAGGACAACGTTTTTATGATCGAGGAGTTCGCTAGCTCATATAAATGACAAAAGAGCGAATATGCGGCAGAAATTTTTCCGATCGGCTCCCAAAATAGAATGGCACAAATTGACAGGCACAAACGCATTTAATTTTTTTTCGTATCATCCTCCCTTCACTCGAAGGAATATATCTATTATGTTACTGAGAGACAGTATATGGATATTACCATGTGGGAACAGAGAAGATAGAAGTAACTATAGACTTTATGTCAGTGAATACATAACGTACGAACACTGGATGTCATGTTTGCGAAACGAAAGAAATCGATGAGTACATCCTCATGCTTAAAGGTTTTGTATCAAAATAAGAAAAAGAATTTTAAAAAATATTGTATATGAAAAGATCGTATACTATAAATATATTCAAATGTTCTCTTCTAGAATGGTATAATACTAGCAATATGAATAATCAACGAACTTCTCACACAGCATCTGTATTAGCAAATGGACACGTATTAGTTGCTGGTGGAGATTATTATGGAGTCATGAATGATAGTGAGTTGTATGATCCAGTAGCAGGAACTTGGACAACTACTGGTAGCATGACTAATGCACGGAATGTTCACGCAGCATCTGTATTATCAAATGGAAAAGTATTAGTCACTGGTGGGTATCGTCGTAGTAATAATGATCTTATTGAGTTGAATAGTGCTGAATTATATAATCCATCAACAAAAACTTGGGCAACTACCAGTAATATGCATTTTACACGAGCGGGGCACAGATCATCTGTATTAAAAAATGGAAAAGTATTGGTTACTGGTGCACCTATGTATAGGCATGGTTATAGTCTCAATTTGAATATTTCTGAATTATATGATCCATCAACGGAAATTTGGACAATTCCTGATAATACGGGCAATGAACAGATGCGAATGTCACACACAGCAACCGTATTAACAGATGGACAAGTGTTAGTTGCCGGTGGATTCAATCTTGCTGATGGTATAACAAGTACTGTGTTGTATGATCCCTCAAGCGACAGTTGGACACCTACTGGTAGCTTGACTAATGGACGATATTGGCACACAGCATCTATATTAAAAAATGGAAAAGTGTTAGTTACTGGTGGAATGAATCATATTGCGCTGAACACAACGGAGTTGTACGATCCATCTACAAAACGTTGGAAAACTACTGGTAGCTTGAATAATGCACGATATCAACACACAGCATCTATATTAAAAAATGGCACAGTATTAGTCACTGGTGGATCTCATTCTGGTAATAATACTATTATTGTCTTGAATAGTACTGAATTATATGATCCATCAACAGAAACTTGGACAATGGTGGCTCATATGAATACAAAACGAATTGGTCATACAGCATCCGTATTATTAAACGAAAAAGTTTTAGTGTGTGGTGGTTCCAGCTACGAGGCTCCTTTTTATCCAATATATGGAGAATTATATGAAATACCATAAATAGATTACCAATAAACAGCTTTTTTTTGATAATCAGTACAGGTATTCTCGTCTTTAAATCGTATTTTATTAATAAAGTAATGAATTGTTTGAAGTTTTATTACAATATCGTACATTTGAAACATTCGATTGAAAATACCAAACATATTTTCGTCACTGTAGTCCTGTAGATTAGTTTATCGTGGTGAAAAAAGTCTTCAAATGGAAGGTCGCGAACTGTTGAGCAGTAAGCTTGGCCTTGTTCGGGTGAAATAGTCACTCTTATCGAGAAACTATTATACTCAAAATATGAGCTGCTGCTGCTAGGGTACCTTGGCTGAGATATTTCAATTTTGAGATATTTTCCGTACATGTAATGTGCTAATTGTTAAAAACTTTAATAGAACTTATGTGTATTTGGATTTGAGTGCGGGTGTTAGTGATACTGGGGGCCTGGACATTGGTGTGGGTGACAGCCCTTTATTTTCTTCCATATCCTTATTCATATCAGCACCCACACCATCAAGATATTTTCACTTGTTCATTTTCACCGCTCAAATACTGTGTTGATTCAAAACAATTAAACCAAGGTCAGTAAACACACATCGTTATCTCACCTATAATTTTACCTTCGTTCGAAACACATATATATATATATATAAACAGCGAGAGAGTCAGACAGCGATTACCTGCAACACACAAGACATGACTTCACCACTGTCGATGATCACCCATTACTTTTGTCTTTTTCAGCTAATCCAACAAATACCGGTCATAAACGCAATGCGTTATTATCCAACGAACAAAACTGAATGGATCCTATTTGCCGTCTGCTTCGGACTTTCTGGGATCAGCCTCATCATCAGATGTTGCATTGCTCACTGTAGAAATGCTGAATCATCGGTGACGACAAATTCTACCACGATTGCTCAACCTCCTGTGCACAGTTTCTATCCGCGGAGTTATCGTCGTGAAACAACCAACGTTGACGCCCACTCTCAAAATATAAACATGACAACACGATCGGTTTCATCGAAAGCTCGCTCATCTAAGAATCCGTTGGATGTGGCTGTACTAGCTTGGCAGAACAGTCAGGATTTGCCACCGGTGTAAAGCAAGACTAGTATTTCAAATGCAATAAAACTGACTGTAATTGTCGAATAAACAGACGAGATCAACACACAGAGTGATGTATGATTTTTTGGAAATGTGTAATTTCTTTTTCAATAAACTACAGTTTAAGGAAAACAGAGCGATATTTTTGAATCTAAGGGACGATTTACTTTCTATTCGTTCTAATTGAAATGGCTAATCAGAGAATTTCTCTTTATTGAATGTTCAGAGTATAGATCTTTCTTGTATCTCATCCCCACCGACATCCTCAAGATGTTTTGAGTCGAATTCTCTATAAACATACCCACCACGATAGATTTTAGTTAGTCATGATGAAAGAGTTTGGCTCATTTACAGTAAATATTTTGGATGTCGATAGTTATCATCCGAAGTAAACAATACTTATGAAAAAGAAAAAACCAAGTTGATGTGTTGTTAGATATCTGCTTATCTTCCATGAAAACCCTGACTTTTACTATTTCGGTGAAAACCAAAAAGCGTTATCATAACTAGGTAGTATGATATTTGTAAGAAACCTATTTTGATGACACAGGTAAATTTTTGCTGTTTATTCTTGGTATGATGATTCATAAGTTATCTCTGTGTGTGTTTGTTATTGTTGTTTAATATCTGTGGTGTGGTTATAACTATGGAAGAATATGACTTTCCTTACCTAACAGGACCCACACATACCCCCAACAACACATTGCTGTTGAGGGTGTGGGTGTGAGCCTTTCTTGCATCTCACCCCTACTCACATCTTTACTATGAAGACGCTTGGAATCTACTTCTTTAGAAACATACCCATACCGATTGGTTTTAGTTAGTTTCAATGAAATAGGACAGCTCGTTTATAGCAAAATGTTATGAATATCGATAGTCATCGTCCCAAGTAAACAACACTTACATCATAAAGGAAAAAACCAAGTTGATGTCTTGTTAGATATCTGCTTATCTTCTATGAAAACCCTGACTTTTACTATTTCGGTGAAAACCAAAAAGCGTTATCATGACTAGGAAGTATGATATTTGTTAAAAACCTGTTTTGATGACACAGGTAAATCTTTGCTGTTTATCCTTGGTATAATGATTCATAAGTTATCTCTGTGTTAGTTTTTGTTATTGTTGTTTGATGTCTGTCGCGCTATGCAATACCCTTACTGATATAAAATGCCTATTTAAACCGCATACTTTTCATGAATATTTCATTTTCTTACAGTTGGCAGTATGATGGATGGTCTTATTTTTCGTCTTTTTTGCTTATTTTCAATCTTTCAAGCAACGCACCAAACTGCTTACCCTTGTGATCCAAATGCTTCATGTGGTTGTTCGCAGTTTCCTGTTAATGCATATGCTCGTATTGTCAATGGAGAAGACGCTGGCTACAATACATGGTCTTGGGCAGTATCTCTAGAAGTAGGAGATTATTTATGTGGTGGAACCATCATACATGAATCTTATATTATAACAGCGGCTCATTGTCTCGATCACAATTTAAGACCATCAGATATAACAGTTCATGCTGGTTCATTGACGATTATGGAAGGTACACAAAGATCAGCATCTCAATTCTATATGCATCCATCCTATAACACAGCACAGCATACCAATGATATTGCTTTAATACAATTAGATCGTCCACTGGATTTATCAAATCGTGATTTGGCAAAAATCTGTTTACCTAAAATTGCTAGTACATCAGAAGAATATCCTGTAGCAAGTACTCCATTATTAACAGTAGGCTGGGGTACTCTATCGTCAGGTGGAGATATTTCAAGAACTCTACAGCAAGTTACCGTATCAGCTGTGGGAGCACAGACAACATACTGTCAATCTGTTATTAAAGATCCAATGCTACAACTCTGTGCCGGTATAATGCCTGGAGGCGGAAAAGGTAACTTTCATCTTTTTGATACTCGTATTTTGCTACAGATTTCGATAAGTTAATTTTTCTTGTGTAAATTACTGAAAGAAATTTAAGAGAAGACTATAAAATCTAGTAATTGTAATTGTTTATAAAATTTTAATATATATATATATAATTAATATCAATAAATTCTATTATAGATACGTGTCAAGGAGACTCAGGTGGTCCATTAATGATGTTCAATTCGAAACAAGAATGGGAACTGGTCGGTGTCGTCAGTTATGGTAAAGGATGTGGTCTACCACGCTTTCCTGGTGTTTACACTCGAGTATCTTCTTACTTGGACTGGATCAATCAAATAATTCAATACAATTCACCATCAACTACAACAACCGAAAAAACATCAACATTTTCAACAAAACCAACAACTGTTAATACACAAACTACCACAGATATTGTTGAGAATTCATCCAATTCAATCAAGATAAACATTTGTTTCTTTGTTACAATTTTACTTTTTCTTTTCAATTACTAGCTAAACAATTTGTTTTCTATCTTTCTCCATTATTGTAACATTGATTAAAATATAAATAAATACAATGGTGAAATTTTCAAATAGATTGAGAAATGTACTATTTTTTTTTAAACTATAAATAAAATGAATGTGAGTGTACAGCCAAAACTTTCTAAATTTATAAACACTCATCCTTACCAACAAATACACCTTCAATAAAAATGTTTTTATTTAGAATTTTATATTAATAGAGTTGTCAATAGTTGAGAATTTTAGTTAGACTACAAATAATTTTAATAAAAATCGCTGATATTCATTGATTTTATTCTCATATCATCTGGAATCGCGACAGGAGCTCTCTTAGTAATTGAACTTTGTTCTTCGAGTGTTTCCAGACCAATTAGTAGATTACTATTGTGAAGGTCGAAGAAAATGTGTTGTTTAGTTTCTGCATTGATTACATTGATAAATTTAATATTACCCATCATAACTTTACCACTAGCCGATTCAGTGCATATATAAACAGTACATATAGCGATGAGCACACTGAGTTTTTTCATCAGTCGATCGATTCGAGAAAAAACATTGTAATTAATATCTATTGATTTACTTTGAAATAGCTGTAAACATTGTTTTAATTCTCCGATGAACACATATTCGTACATATATTTCTTATAACGCCAACATGAAAGTGAACGATTGTTAGTTCCATCCGTTCTTGAAGTGCTTGGTGATAATATATGTGTTTTTGCAGCTAATAAAAAATTCAAGCGATAATCATTAACCGACAGATCTTCAATCTCTTCATGTGGAAAGCGAAGAATAATCCTAGAGTCAGCCGCATCATACCATTTCTCAACTCGTATAAGTAATAGATAGATTTGTTCTACGCATGCTTTTATAAAAGATATGTTACTAGAGCACTCTTTGAAAATTCGATAAATTAATCGTAGGTCTTCCATCATTTCATATACTTCTAAAACTTCTTCAACACGATCTTCTGGTATTGATCTGCGTTCGTCAGTTCTCGTTCGAATAGGTCTGGGAGGTCTCAGCAATTTTTCTATTTGGTTTTGTATGTAATTATTCATTCCGTACTTATCATTCACGTTTATTTTCAATATTTTCTCATAGCAGTCTAATGCGCATTTCGTATCTGCAGTCGTTTCATACATTTGCCCGGCTTTCTTAAGAAGTGTAGCGACTTCTTTCGTGTCCACTATGCAGAAATGTTCTAAATACTCCTCGTACAAGGCTACCCATCGTGTGGGTAATGACAACCAAACGTTTGATTCACGAAGTAAATAAGAAAAAGATGATCGATTCGATTCGATTACCGGAATAGAACGTAGAAGAGTTTTATGCATGTCAATGGCTTTTCTTGACCAATATTTATTATTAGTAAAACAATCATAGAATGTTAAGTTTAGCGGCTGTTGATTTCCAATGCTCATCGACCATGGACTGTTTAACTTTTTCCACCAATTTGACCAGTTCGTAGTGTTAAATGTGACGTCATCTTCAGCATTCTTCACTAACATATCTATGATAGCAGTATAAATTTGTGGATCTTCTACCTTTCCAATCAGATCGATAATATCATAATCTCTAAAATGACGACCATCCTGTGCACCTGTGACGAGTTCGAGTGTAATTAAGACCCAAGGACGATCAGATCGATTTTCTCGATATGCGATATGTTGTATTCGAAAATGTGTTACAAGCGAAAAGAGTACTTCTTGCTCCTGTGGAAAATGAGACAGTGAAGTAATATTTGCGAATACCTGCACATGACGAGTCATCATTTTCATATAGTCATTATAGCTGTCAGTGATAATAATTTCAAATAGACAAGCGGTTAAACCATCTTCAAGAGGTACAAAATCCAATGCAACATCAGGATCAACTGTTGTTGAACCGAATGTAGTCAATGTAATGATCGAAGTATTGGATTTCCAAATTGAAATAAGATGATTCAGTTGTTCTGGACTTAGATTTTGTCCTCGATACACACTTCGAATAAATTGGTTATTGGAACGGTAATATATTCGATGATAGTCATATATTTGAGAATGTAAATCTCTAATGAAAGGACTAAATACTGTGATAAGTTTCATATTTTGTGTACGTAAAGCATGATTGACAATACGATAAAGAAAGGTATCTCGTGTATACTCATAAATTGCATTAGTCGGTTTATATGTTTGTGCGAATTCATCAATTTGTTTAATTATAGAATAATTATTCTGATAATACTCGCGACATTCTTTGAACATATTTTGATAAGATAGTTTTATAGATTCAGATCGATAGCAGATCACTAGAAGAAATAGATGATACCATTGAGAAGTGTCAGTCGAAGCTTTTTCAAATGATTTTTCAGCAAAAGGCCATCGTCCACTTAGCTTTTTAATATCACTATGAAGTTGAATAATTAATTTTGTTGGGTTCGAAACAATACATCGAATCTTCTCAATTTCTTTTGCCCATTTTGCATGTTCCGTCTCATCCATGCAATAGATATACAGCCCGATAATTTGTGTTTCAAGAACAAATTGATGAGCATACTTCTGTCCTAATGTGCCGGAAATAATTAAGAAAATATTTATATTAGATTGAGAACGAATAAATCGAAGACTTGTTGCAATATCATCGAATGATTGTATGCGATCTCTACTAATCATCAATGGAAGATTTTTAAATAAATACTGATTATCATCAATACCCACAATCAATACAATGTATTCGTCAAAATTATCATATTGTTTAAGATTTACTGATGATAAGGTGTTCTCATCAACATGACGCACACCGACATGTTCTTCTGTTGTTGCCGAAGCCATTGTCTATTACTATTAAATCTAAAAAAAGAAGAATTGTAAGAAATGAAAAAGAGAGAGAATAACGTCTGCTTAGATAAGATTCTTTTGTATAATGTGAATAAGTTTGATGAGTACGACAATGATCTTTCAACATAGACTCGATAAATTCGACAAGTGAATCTGTAGTATAGAAAAATGATCATATATTTAATGTAGAAAATTTCACTTCTCAGTATTATATAATATGAAGAGAAACAAATGATAGTTAATGGCACTTTTCTTAATTAGTACCAAAGATAAATGATAAAAATAAATTTCTACCCTTGTCGTTGAGTCTTCTATACACATGTGTTTGCGTTATTAGCAGTATTTATTTCTTCTGATAAGAAAGAATAAAATCTTTTTTCGTCTCTAGATAAATAAAAAGAGAAAATAATAGGCATACTTCATGTAAGTCTAAGATAAAAGTACATCTCTACCATTCTACACACAAAATATTCGTTGGGAATCCATTCTAATGATTGTTATAGTTTGATTTCTAGTAGACAAGCTAACAATATAATATTGGTTAAATATCGATATAAAGTAAAGCAAAGTATTTACCGTCAAAAAGCTTATCAGAGTCATTACGGAAGATTTTATATTCACATAATGATTATTAGTTTAAGATACTTTTTAGTATATCATAAAACTCACTATCGTCAAATATATACCTACTTATCGGATCTTGAAGATACTACTGATCAGTCTGACTGTCCAACAACATACTATTGTAATAATACTTATGCTGTGTGTTGTCCTCGAAAAGTATTAGAAACTTCAAACAAGAATTAATAAATGAAAAATATTGTGGTAGTTGTCCTCGCAAATGTACAAAAGTTTAAATTTGTATTTATAAACGATTTTTTTAAACAGAATAATAAAATAAATATATTTGCTTTTTTTAAATATAACTTGATGATCAATATAATATCTCTACAAAAACCAGGATTTTTATTATTACATCAATTGAATAAAAAACAATTTCGGTAGATGTCGTACTATACATGGCATTAAGAATGGTTGTTACTCAAATCAAATTTCTAGTAATATGTATAAAATTGTCCTGAATGAATTAGCTATTTGAAAACAAAATTTTCTACGATAAAAATATATAATATGATTAAAGCGTAAAATATATCTCTAAAATTCAACGAATAACATTAGACGATGACTCATTCTTATAAGTAAAGGAGGCCGTTTTTTGTGTGTACTCGACATTTATCCTGTTGATTTCTTTGAAGTTAAAACAAAATGAGTTTTCTCTCAAGAATTTCATCGAGAAACCTCTGTCGTAGTGCAAATTCAATAGGATCCAATGTAAGTTGATAATTGAAAAAAAACAAAAATTTAAACTTAAAAACTTGATTAGGTCTTAACACGTTCTTTGGCAGTTCAAACTTCACAAACACGTAACACTGATGCAAAACATACTACTGGCAATCGTGTATGTTTTGAACAAATATTATCTTTTTGTTCTTATTTCATTTTCTTTTGTATTAGGTTGCATCCAATTACAAAATTATTGATCATACATACGATGCTGTAGTAGTTGGAGCTGGTGGTGCAGGTCTCCGTGCTGCTTATGGTTTATCAACAGCTGGTTTTAAAACAGCTGTCATTAGTAAATTATTTCCTACACGTAGTCATACTGTCGCAGCTCAAGTTAGTAAAAAATCCATATATTCTTCAGTTGAGAATAAAATACATTGGCATTTGTTTTTAGGGTGGCATTAATGCGGCATTAGGAAATATGGAAAATGACGATTGGCGTTGGCATATGTATGATACAGTTAAAGGTTCAGATTGGCTTGGAGATCAAGATGCTATTCATTATATGGCTGAAGAAGCACCACGTGCTGTTGTTGAAGTATATCGAATAATAATAGAAAGAATTTTTTCATATACTAGCTTCTTTTTTTTAAATAGCTTGAAAACATTGGTATGCCATTTAGTCGAACACCTGATGGAAAAATTTTACAACGTGCTTTTGGTGGTCAATCCTATGATTTTGGTCGCGGTGGTCAAGCACGTCGTTGCTGTTGCGTTGCTGATCGTACAGGTCATGCTATGTTACATACACTTTATGGCCAAGTAAAGTTTCGAATTAAAAGAAAAGAAAAATGCAATTCTAAATTCATTTTATTTTTATTTAGTCACTTAAATATAACACAGATTATTTTATTGAATATTTTGCACTTGATTTATTTATGAATCAAGATAATACACAATGTATTGGAGTTATTGCCATGAATCTTGAAGATGGTAGTCTTCATCGTTTCCGATCTAATAATACAGTTTTAGCTACTGGGTATAAATAGAATTTTATTTTATTTTTTTTATAAATAATAGAAATATGTTTTATAAATATATAGTGGTTATGGACGTGCATATTTTTCATGTACATCAGCTCATACATGTACTGGTGATGGAAATGCAATGGCTACTCGTGCTGGTCTTAAAAATCAAGATTTAGAATTTGTTCAATTTCATCCAACTGGTAATTTCATTATTGATTATAAAATTCTTTCTTTTTTTTTCTAAATGTTTTCTTCTTTTTCTAGGTATTTATGGTGCAGGTTGTCTTATAACAGAAGGTTGTCGTGGTGAAGGTGGCTTTTTAATTAATAGCAATGGTGAACGATTTATGGAACGTTTTGCACCAGTTGCAAAAGATCTTGCTTCACGTGATGTTGTTTCACGTGCAATGACGATTGAAATTCGTGAAGGACGGTTAGTAAAATATTATTATCATATAAAGAATTATAATTTTTTGTTTCAAAAATAGTGGTGTTGGAAAAGACAAAGATCATATTTATCTTCAATTACATCATTTAGATCCAAAATTATTGCATGAACGCTTACCAGGTATTAGTGAAACTGCACATATATTTGCTGGTGTTGATGTAACTAAACAACCCATACCTGTTTTACCAACTGTTCATTATAATATGGGTGGTGTACCAACAAATTATAAGGGTCAAGTTATCCAAGAAAAAAATGGAAAAGATGTTGTTGTTAAAGGTTTATATGCAGCTGGTGAAGCAGCATGTGCTAGTGTCCATGGTGCTAATCGACTTGGAGCTAATTCTTTATTAGATCTTGTCGTTTTCGGACGAGCTTGTGCTAATACAATTGCTTCAGAAAATAAACCAGGTGAATCATTTGCTGAACTTCCATCGGTTAGTTATGATTATTTTTAAATGAAATGAATATTTTCAATATGTATATATATTGTAGAAAGCTGGTGAAGCTTCAATTGCTAATTTAGACCAACTTCGAAATGCCAATGGATCGATATCAACAGCAGATCTTCGTTTGAAAATGCAAAAGGTATATTGATAGTAGAGAAGCATATGATATCACTATTCTTTTTTAATTAGACCATGCAAAATCATGCTGCTGTATTTCGTGATGGTACAACATTGAAAGAAGGTCGTGATTTGATGGATGGTATCTTTCAAGAACAAAAAGATCTTAAACTTAAAGATCGTGGTATTATTTGGAATACAGATTTAATTGAAACACTTGAATTACAAAATTTATTACTTAATGCCATGCAAACAATCTATGGAGCTGAAGCACGAAAAGAAAGTCGTGGTGCACATGCACGAGAAGATTATCCAGTAAGGAAATATGAAAGTCTGTTGAATTTATTTTAAAATTTTGTTTTAGAATCGTGCTGATGAGTATGATTATACAAACTTAGACAAAAATCCAATTACCAATCAAAAAAAGAAACCTATAGAAGAACATTGGCGTAAACATACATTATCATATACTGATCCCGATACAGGAAAAGTAAGAAAAATAAATTTCCTTTATTTATTCTTCGTTTTTTTCTTCTTCGTTTCAGACTACATTATCATATCGAGCTGTTATTGATCACACATTAGATGAAAGTCGTTGTAAACCAGTGCCACCAAAACCTCGTGTCTATTAAAAACAAAACATCGATATGCGATCTGAGATTGATATGAATTTTAGACTTTTCCCTGACATTTTTTTTCTGTTAATAATTTTTTTTTCTCCTATTTTAAAAAATATAGACATATATAAAAGATTTAGCATGAAATAGCTTAATGATTTCTACTATTGTGTAAAATTATTATTAATTAGAAATCAAAAAGATATATTTATATACTAGGTGTAACAATCATGTCACATTTTCTCATCGCCAAGACACGTTGTCTAATGAAGTATGACGTTTTCTTTGCAATGAACAATGTTCAATGAAGGTAAAAACGTGTTTTATAGTTAAAAAAAATGTGACAGTTTTTTTACAAAGAAATTAATGATGATTAGAAAATTATACAATTATATATATATATATTATGAAACAAAACAAAGACGAAGATGAAAACAATGATAAGACTATGAATAAAATGAAGGACAATAGTAATGATGACATGTGCTTTTGATTTAAATCAAATTCTAGTTTTGACATGATTATTTACTGTAATTTCACTCTTAACCTTATCGTTATCTGATAGTTTATTGTATCTAAGTTTTTTTGAACCTCAAGTTCAACGACACGGTCAATATTTATGAGTAAATTATTTTTATGCTTGAATCCGATGGTCGTTCCGCTTAGTTGTATCAATAACTAGTACACTTACTACATCTGAAAGGCTATCTATGGGACAATCTCATAATGATCAAGTTTTTACTACTAATTAAAGTACATCATCTGTCAAATTTTCAAGATTTCGATCGCCTTGAACTTGGATTTATTTGTCATAGAGGACAACATACTATACAATCCATATGTGTACTACTAACATTACGTATCAATTATATACTAGCGATGATAAGTATTATGTAAAAACTACATCAAAACACGAACAAATTATATGCGTTATCCTATGTTCATCTCTAACTATTGACTATATTGTGTAAGTGTAAGTTTTATATTTTACACGTCTTTCCTTATCAATAATCAGACAGAAAAAAATGTTCGTCCTGCTTACCTATTGATTATTTTCATAATGTTACGTTTACTGTTCTTATCACCTTCTTTTCAATTGCATAAAATATTAGACTATCACTTATATTTTGAATATTGATGACCTTGATTATCGGTAAAATAATGAATAAAGACATATTATGATTCAATTTTCAAAAGAAAATTTTATTAACTAATTTTTAGATAATACATAAAACAAATAATAATTTCGAACAAAAATATACTTCCATTAAAATGGAAATATAATGAACAAATGTTTCTTGTAAACCTTTAATTATTTATAATTAAAGATTTTTAACAATATGAATAAAAAAGAAGAAAAAAGAGAATAAGATCGATCAACGGTCTTATCGTGTTAATAAAAAAATTCTTTCTAAACTAATATACGAAAGAATAATATAAATGTCTAATCTACTAATAATTGAAAAACAATAACATTAATATATATATATTTGTTTAATAAGGCATTGATTCAGGTGTGATACCATAATGTGCAAGTTGAGATGATAAATCTTCTACTATACCTAAAAAGAAACAAATATTTAATAGAATATAACATATTGTTCCTACTTGAAAAAGATCTTCCACTCCCAACTTGTTGAACATGCGATTCTTCATAATTTCTTGATAACGACGATGCTCCATGAATAAGATTTTCATAAGTTGGAGCATAACTATTGTTGTTATTATTATTATTATTATTATTATTATTGTTATTATTGTTATTATTATTGTTATTATTCATGTTTACTTCACCATATAAATGTCGTTGTGGAGAAGTATTATTTATACTAGTAAATGTATGTTCATTATCATTTGATGATGTTTGCTGTTGCTGTTGCTGTTGCTGTTGATGTTGATGTTGATGTTGTTGTTGCTCTTGTTGTTGATCTCTATTGTACATTTTAGGTGGAGACTAGATAAAAAAGATAGTAAAAAGTATAGAGTCAAAAACAATACATACAAGATCTACACTAATGCCCATATCTTTTATTTGTGCCATTAATTGATCGGTATCAAGTAATGAATTTCCATAATGTCTGGAATAATTACCAGGATCTTCAGGTGTAACACCTAATCGTTGGAATTGTCGAACAACTCGTGTTTGTACAGGTTCATACCTTAAATATTTAATGAATGAAAATAATTGGAAAATATTTTTCTTAAAATAATTACGTTATAATAATATTTCTGGGTGAAGGATATTGTTTTGCCTCTTTAGCTCGATGAACAACAACTGGACGTTTATACATAGCTTCATAGGGTATCCATCGTTCAATGATAACATCACGTGGTTTAGGTGGTAATCGAGGTAAATTTTCAATAATTACTGATCTTGGTGGTGGTGGAATAGGAGGTAGTGTTTTGGTTATAACTTTCGCTAAAATAAAAAATGAAATTAGTTTTCTTCTCGGTTTTTTTTTGACACATTTTGATAAGATCTATACTGACCGGTCATACTAGCAGGTATCGGTGGAGGTCTTTCGCGAAGAATGATGGGAGGTGGTGAGAGAGGCGGTGGAGGATGTTGCCGAATGACCTATTTAAAACACAATATATATGTATTGATTGATCTATAGAGATCTTTAACTTACAAGTGGTGGTGGCGGTGGAGGTTGAGGTGGACGAACTTCTCGTATAATCAAAGGTGCTTGTGGCACTGGTGGTGGTTGTAAAAATCGTACCATAATATTTTGATTATAAACAACTGAATTTGGTACTGAAGGTTTTCGTATAATTTGGGGTTCAGGATCATAATATAAATTTTTTGTTCGAACAATTGTTTCATAATCCGCTTCAGGTGCATATTTTTCTGTTGGCACATCTTGATTAAAATGAAATAATTCACCTTTGGGTGGAAATTCAAAATGCATTGGTTGATTAACATTGACATCTGTTTGTGGAATATCAGTATAAGTATTATTTATTACTGGTTTTTCGCCATATAAATGTTCCCAACTTTGAATTTCATTATCGAGATTTATCGTATTATTATTCATATTCGTGGGTGAGGTTGAATATGGTTCAGAATAATGATATTCTCCACCAACATTAAATGCTTGACTATCATCAAGCGTTGACATTTGAGAATATCCATTTGACTGTTCCATTGTTGGTGTACTTGCAACAGATGCCTGTTCGCGACTGGGTGGAAGTGATGTGTTTGTTCCTTGTCGCTGGAAATATTTATTTGTATTATAAGAAGAA